ATATAAATCTTGCTAGTGCCCTTAAGTAGGTAGTTTATTTTTTATTTTATATTTATTTTTAAGTTTTATTTTTTCTTAATTTATTTAATTTTTAATTACCATGTTTTTTTAAAATTAATCCCATGTTTTATTTTTTACCTTTTTTATTATTACTAGTAATACTTCCTAGGGCCTGAATAATAAGGAAATTTTAATTTTTATTACAGCCTTTATAAGCTTCCAGGATAATTTTTTTAGTTTAAAATAAAATAAAAATAATAAGATTTTTTTAATTATTTAATGGTATAATTTATATAAGTAACTATATATAAATAACTAGTTTTTTTAAGTTAAGGGCACTTTCTTGGTTGTGCCAGGCCCTTAAGGACTAATTATAATTATAAATATAAATTATATTTATTACTAGGATAGTAACCTATTATTTAAGATTTATAATAATAGTAGTATTAATATTTGTAACCCCTTTTTTACCCTTACTAGTAATATAATTATTATTTATAAAAATAATTATAGTTAATATTAAATTTTTATAATTTAGGTGCGGAGTTACCATGGCCGGGAAAAGCCTAAATTTATAAAATTTTTTATTTACTATATACTACGCCTTATTATTTAGTAAAAAAAATTATAATTCTAGGTATTAATTATTAATACATGGTATTTAGTTATATAATTAACTAGCTATTTATTTATAGCTAAAAATTAATTATTATTTATATTATAGCTTTAACTTACCTTTTTAATAATAAGTAAACTACGCCTTAACCTATGCTTTTTACTACTAGGCTAGGCACCTTTTTTTTTATAGTAACTTCCTGGTATATTTAATACTAATTTTATTTATTTTTATTAATATATATTTTATATATATATAAAAAAAAATATATTAAGGCGTCCATGGTCCCGGGAACTTTTATTAAGTTTACTAAGCTTAAAAATAATACTAATACCACCTTCTCCCGCTAGCCTAAATTTTTAAAAACTATATTCTAGTTTACTTCCTCCCTTTTTATTAGGGCCACTAGTTTAATAGTTAAGATTAAATTTCTTATTACTAATAATATAGCAAAAAATTAAATTAACTATAAGCTTTTTTAATTTATGTTTTTAAAGCCTTTTTCTTCCTTTAAATAAAAAGTAATCTTAAAGAATAAGAACGCAAGTTTTAAAAAGTATAAGTAAAAAAACATAAAATCTTATAAAAAAAAGTAAAAAAAATAAATACCCTTTTTATAATTTTAATACTTATACTTCTTTATTTTTTTTTAGTTCTCCGGGGGAGCCTTAATAAGGTGCCTGCTTTATATATAATTATTTTTTTAGGTATTATTAACCTTTTAATAGCAAGCACTTTTACTAGGCTATTTAAAAAAAAGGGGAAGGCCCTAAAGTAATTATATACTTAGTTAGGTAATAATGTTTTCTTGCTAGTAATATATTTATAATTTTTTTATATATATTATTAGCTTTAAAATATTAATTTAGGTAGTAGTTTTTTTTATTAATGCTATATTAGTATTTTTTTATATTAATATAATACTTTTAAGTGCGCACTGCCTTAGGGTTTTAATATTAATAAATACTTTATACTTTTATTACTTTTTTACTTGGTTTAACACCGGGCTTTTTTTATTTTAATAATTTTAATTATTTTAATAACTAGTACCCTAATGTTTATTAAATACCTGTCTTTTTTTTATTTTAATACTTATATAATTAAGCTAATGTAAGGTTAATTTTATTTATTTATTAAGGGATATTTACTATTTTTTGCCCTTTAAATTTACCTATTAAGTTTGCCCTTTAAGTTTGCCCACTAAGTTTACCCTTTAAGTTTGCCTATTAAGTTTGCCCTTTGCCCCCCTTTAAGCCCTTGGGTATACTAGTAACTTAATAAAAAACCCGCTAATTAAAAAAATTAAAAACACTTGTAGTAACGCAGAGTGTGGTAAAAAATTAAATATTTAAATTTAGGTTTATTAGCTGTTTTTAGTTTATTAGTAATTTTTAGTTTATTAAAGTCCTTGGTTTATTAAAGTTCTTGGGTTTATAGTTTATATTTAGCACTAAAAAAAATAATAAGCATTTAAATTTATTAAGTTTAAATTTATTAATTATTTATTATACTTAAATAAACCAACCAGTTTAATTTAATTAAACTAGTATAATATATTTTAATAGGGCTAATTAGTTTCTTATATAGCAAGGCCACCCTAAACCTTGCTGGCTAAAAAAATAAAATATCCCTAAGTATTAGCGCTTTAGCTTATTTCCAGGTATTAGTATATTAGTATTATTAGCTACTATTAATAACGTGCCTTTACACTTATAAAATATTATTAGTTATTATTTTTTTAGCTAACCCTAGGTATAGTAGCTACCTAAAAATTATTACTTACTATTACTTTATATTATTAAAATATATTATTTATGCCTTTACCACCACGTGAGGGGGGTATATAAAATATAGCTTAAAATATTTATAAAACTTTTTATTATTTATTATACTTTTATATAAAATAAATAATATATTACTTTTTAAAGTTTAGGTTAAAATAAAATTACTTATTTAGCCTTATAATACCCTTTAGGTTAAATTCCTGTAGCTTATAACTACCTAAAACAAGTATTTAAATATAATATATATTTTTTATAAGCTAGAAATCTTTACTATAGTAACTTTAGTTAATTAGTATATAACTAATAATAAAGTATTATTATTTTAATAACCTTTTTTAGCTTAGCCCGAAGCTAACTTTTAATACTTAAAGGTATAATACTTAAAGGCACGCCTAAAGGCGTAATACTTAAAAAAAAGCTTTAATATAATAAGTTTAAAAGGTTTAGGGCTTTAAAGCCTTATTCTAGTAACTTAAAGGTTATTAAATAAAAAGTATATTTTTAGTTAGGTATAATACTAGTATTTATTAAATTAGCATGTTTATTAAAAATAAGCCCCTGGCTAAAAAAATTTAACCTATTATTTTTTTTTATAACGCGCTAAAATAGTATATATTTATTATTTTAGTAAACATGGCTTTTAAACTTTAATACCTTAGTATTTTTATATATATTATTAAATAGGGGTAGTAAGCTTTTTTTAACTTAATTTTAATAACCTAGCTTACCTTAATACTATAGCTAAAAATATTAAAGCTAAATTATATAAGTAATTTTAAAGCTAGCTAGCTATTCTAGTACTATTATTAATTATTAATATATTATAAATTTTAGTTAATATATTTTTTAGGGTAAATAACCTTATAAACCCTAAGTACCTTATACCTTAAAATATTAGTATAAAGGTATGGTACTAAAGCATAATAAATTTAATAAACTTATTAATATAATATATATAAGAGCCATGCCCTAAAAGACAGCTACTTTTAAAAATATTATATTATTTTTTTATTTTAAAAAAAACTTTATATTTTAGGTTTACCCTATAATAATAAGTTATTTACCTTACTAAAAGTTAACTTTAATAATTAAAGCCTATAAGCTTGTATAATAGTTAATTAAATATAAAAAAAGGTAAAACACTTTCCCGGACGCACTAGTACTTAATATTTTAAGTATAAATTTTACTAGCCTATAAATAATAGGCACTAAAAGTAGGTATTATAGGTGGGGTTTATAAGATAGTTCTTATTAGCTATTAAATTTATTTATTATTATATTTAATAAGGGCCCTACTTTATTAACACTGTTTATAAATAATTATTTCCTAAATATCTTTATTATTAAAAAGCTTAAGATTAAATATTTAAGTTAGGGCTTTAGGAACCACCTTAAATACTTTTATTATTAAAATACTTAGGGCTAAATATTTTAGTTAAAACTTTAGGAACCACCCTTAATACTAGTAAATATATTATTAATATTATAAGTAATTAAAAACCTTTTTAAGCCCCTAGGTATACCAAGGACTTAGTAAGACTTTTTATTTAATATAAGTATTTATTTCTTGCTTAATTAATTTATAAATAATTTTTAATCCCCCTTTAATCCCTAGTATACCTTTAATTTTTAATAACTTTTTAATTTTTTAAAAATTAATTAGCTATAAAACCATATAAAATAAAAAAAATATAGCCTATAAAATAAGGCTAGAGGGCTATAAGCAAGTAAATTAAGTAAGTAAATTAAGTAGGTAACTAAATATAAGCTATTAATATTTTATAATAAAGTTTTATAATAAAGGGCTTACTTACTAAAAGGTAACTATTTATAACCTTTAGTTAAAAGCCTTGCTTTTTTTATAATAAGTACTACCTTAATTACTATTATTAAAAAATAATGCTTTAAATAAATTATGCAGCCTAGTTTTAATTAATATTTAATATTTAGCTTAAAGCTAGCCCTTAAGTTTATATTACTATTAAATAAATATTTTTAGCCCAGGGGCTAGCCCCCTAAAGTCCTATAATAAATTAGTACTTTTTATAAATATACCTAGCCTATTACTTTTTTTACATGCTAAAAAGGCCTTTGCACGGGCGCGTAAATTTATTATAATTTATAAAAAAATAAGCAGGTAAACTAAGCAGGTAAATTTTAAAATTATAATTTTATATAGTTATTGCTTTTTTAATAATATATTTAAAAAATAAAGTATAAATAAGTACCGCCCGTGGCACCCCGGGTTATAAATAGCCTTTTTAATATTATATTTTATACTTAGTTAGCCTGCTTAAGCAGGTTTAAACCCTAGTAATTATAACTTAATTAAATCTTATAATTATTCCCCTATGTTATAGTATATTAAAATATTTAAATTATACCTAGTATAATATTATATAAATAAACCCTAAAATTTAATATTCCTCACGGAAATAGCTATACCCCTAAATTATTTTATAATCCCCTTTAATATTATAAAAAGCTAGCTATAATATTAATAGGAATTAAGCTTGCTTACTATTTAATAATTTATTAATATTAAATTACTAAAAAAAATAATTTACTAGCTCCGACCGCGGCGCTGCGCGCCGCGGCCTATGCTAGTGGTTATTACGGCTGCTGGGTACAAACAGTTTGGCGAGGTACGCAGACACCCCGGATTTGTTAAAATATGGTCAGTAATGTTTGGTAGGCGTACTGGAACCTCTGGGACTTCTACTCCAGTATTCTTGACAACTATTGGAGCCCTGGGGCGCGAACGCTTGTCTTCCTTGCTGCTGGAATCCAAGCATTCGCGACTTTCGTCACAAACCTGACAAGTAATTCTATTCCAGTGGGTTGTGACTTAGCGGGCCTATTTCCGCGGTATTTCACCATCGTTCGCGGCTAGGTCGTCTGCTTCCTACTGGCATGGGTGTGTGGTATGTTAAAAATTCATCACCATCACAAAAACCTGCCCGTTCCAACTGACCCGTTCGATTGTAGTTCCATGGAAGCTCACCTACTCAGCAACCTCCTTCATCACCTTTCTGGGTTCCTATCTCTGCTTCATCTGCCCGATTGTGGCAATCATGGTGTACGAATCTTTGTTGCCAGCCCCTACACTCCATCTTCTCCAGGGTCGACTACTTCCTTATCCGCAAAGGCAACATCCACATCCCCTCCCTCTACGCAACTGAATCCGGCAAGCCATACTACTACACCCACGGCTTCAACCTGCGGGCCTTCATCTCCTGGGCAGCCGCCATTGCGCTCGTAATCCCCGGCGTATCTGGCGCATTGAGCCCCGGCTCCATAGGAACTGCCGCCGTCCGGATTTATGACCTAGGCTTTCTGCTATCGACTAGTATGGCGGCACTGCTATATTATACTGCCTGTCGGATATGGCCAGTGCAGATTTACCCAGCAGAGCACGTGGATGCTGATAAGAGTTGGGAGGCCATGCGCTTTACAGAGGGGTTCTTTGGGGATGAGGATGTTGTTCTGGCGTACTTGGTTCAGACGACGCTTTTGGAGGAGAGGACTGTTTCTGCTGGGAAGTCGGACTGATGCTGTCTTAAGTGGTCAAAGCCTGTCGTAACCCTTCCGTGCTCTGAACAGCTAACAGGCTAATCGGCCGTATGTGGGGGGGATTGATATGGTGTAGACAGGCAAACAAATGGATACGTCATATTAAGAAATTCCAAGGTGTGTACACTCGAGGGAGCGCAAAACCTTAGCATATCCCAGCTGCCTAACGGAGATGCTCGCCTCGGGTGCTTCATCAAGGCAAACTATTCCCCGGGCGAAGAGCCCACTTCGCCGCAGCATCAGCAACGGGATTCAACTCGCGCGGGACAAGCCAAAACCAGACTCCAACACCATTCTCTTCAACACGCTCAACCAGGCCCTCTAGCTCCTTCCACAGCTTAATATTCGCCACCGCCTTGCCCTGTGCATTCCGCCAGCCGTTCCTCTTCCACTTGGCCAGATACTCCGTCACCCCCTGAACCACATACGCCGAGTCCGACTTGAGCGTCACGGTATAAAGTTTGCCATCGGGCTTCTGCTCCTCAGGCAGCCCCGCGACAATGCGCAGCGCTTCAATGGCACCTGCCAACTCCGCAACCTGGCTCGTCTGCCGCTGATCCGCTCCCACCAGGCGCGCCGTGTTGAGCTCATTCCCCTTCCCGAAATACGCGGCGAACGCGGCGCGCGCAGTCCCCTGCGTGCTTCCATTGTTCTGGCAGGCGCCGTCAATGGCGATCACGATGCAGGACGTGTGCGCCGGGTGTCTTTTGCAATGGGGGCACTTCTCCGGGGACCCCGGACAGGCTAGGAACACCCAGCCTTCTCTCGCGCTCTCGATATCTAGCGGGTTGGTGTGGAAGGGGGGCGGGTAGTGTTCTTGCAGGAGGAAGCGGCGCGGCGGTATGTCTGTTGCTGTTGTTGGTTGGTTGGTGAGCGCCATTAGGGATAGGAGCGTTGTGAGTTCCCTTGACGGGGTGTAGGCTTCGTGCGCCGTGGAGGTGTGATCGGCGTGGCTGTAGTCTCCGTTGAATTTCTCCTATAGTCGTTTGTTAGGCTGGAGGTGTTTTTGAAAGGCTTGTGTTTCGGGGAAGTAGATGGACTTACCATGACCTTTAGCTCGCAATGCGGCATTCTTCTCTTCGCTAGATGGTGGTAGGGGCTGATATTTTCGGAGAGTTTGCTGAGTCGCGACCAGTAGGAGATAGGTGGATTGTGAGCTGGAGGGTTCGCGAAGGTTCATGACCCAGGTTGCTGCAAAGAACAGGTCAGAGGCGCAAACGAAGAGAACCTATTAAGCTAGTAACGTGGTTAGGTAGGGAGAGGAGTCCGATGCTGACAGGTTGTCCTTTCCACCGAAAACTGGGCTGCGAATGTGACTTCCTGAGATATTTCATTTCCCAGGAACCCAAAATTCTGAGCACCAGCGAGGCAGATATGTAGGATCCCGCGGTGCAATGCCGCGAGAGACCGAAGATAAGGAATTTGAGGGAGGCCTCGCGTTGATGGTGATGTTCTTTAATCTTTGTGGATATCTGAGAGAATCTAGTTAGATAGGGCGGTGGTCTTGTCAGGATTCACTTGGAAGCGAGGGCTCGAGATGGCGCCTGCATGGTGTATGCCGGCGTGAGTATGGCCTTGAGTGCCAATCCCTCTTTTCCCACTCTCGATGTATCTCAAGGAGTAAGCGAATGTCTCCGGAGCAGAACAAGGACCAAAGTGCCTGAATAAGACGTATACCGCAGGGACTCTTCCTTCCGCAAGTGCAGACCATTAACGGAAGAGCCATTTTAAAAGCCAATCAACGGTATAATCCTCGCCCGTCCCCCGCGCCACTCCACTCCAGCGAAACGACACGTTGTCCGCGGCGACAACGCCCAGTTGGCAGCAGCATCAGCAATACGGTTCATCTCGCGCGGGACATGCCAAAAGAAAATCTCGAAACCCTGGTCCTCGGCCTCGCACACTACCTCCTCCAGCTCCTCCCATTTCTCCCTGTTGGCAACGCGCTTCCCGCTTGAGTTCCTCCACCCGTTCGCCTTCCATTTGGGCAGGTGTTCTGTCAACCCGCGAACCACATACGAGGAGTCCGACTTGATGATAACGGTACGAGGCCTCCCACACAACCAGATTTCATCCGAGTCATCATCCGAGTCAAAGTCCTCTTCAATACCAGAGACCGTGCTCACAGCCCAAATAGCAGCTTCCATCTCGGCGATTTGGCTTGTTTGCCCAGGGTAGATGCCCTTGTCGTCTACCACATTATTGTGGTTCCAGGGCCCAACGTAGACGGCTAAAGAGGAGACGGCGTCTTCCTGCCCGTTGCCGATACACGCACCGTCGACGGCTACAACAATTGTGTCCAGATGTGAGCTGTGCCTTTTGTAGTTGCGGCATTTTGTGCGCCCTGGACACGCGACGAAGACCCAGTGGCCTATCTCGCGCTCGATATCCGATGCCTTGAAGGGAGAGGGGTAAATATCTTCAGGGATGAACCGTCGGCTCGGTGTTTTGGGGCAGGGATTGCTTTTGGGATTGCGCTTTGCTTCCATTGCCGTTAGCGAGATGACTGGCCGAGCTGTAACTAACTCGGCGTTGTCCACCTGGGAATAACCTTCCAGTTTACACTTCTTTGCGGATGCGTACACGCCAGGTAAGCGAGCCGTTATGACCCCGGAGGCGTTCACACGAGGCTGGTCTTTTTCCTTGATTCGGTTTGCAGACGCAGACGCCGTACCCAGACGAGCCGTTACGAAATCCGAGCCGTCCTTTCGAAGATGACTTCCCTCTTCCCGTGGCTTTTCTGATACGCGCATACCCCCGATTGGGATGAACGCGCGGGGTGTTTTTGCGGAAGGTTGCCGCTGGAGCCAGCGGGATGGGGCGGAGGGGGCATTGTTGTGTGAGCCGTAGATCTTAGCCTTTCAAATACACAAATCGATGGACAGGGTATCGTGAGATGGATGTTAGGATCACAGGAAGAGCATGGTAAGGAGGACACTTTGGGGGGCGGGCCTGTCTGGATAGAATCAAACTCTGTCCCGGGAGGCACGTGACTGCTGTTCTCCTCGACCAGGACAATCCTAACCCAGGGTCTCTCCTAAACCTCCACCAGGACAACTTCAATCACCCATAAATAATCAAAGTCTGCGGATTGAACTTTTCGTCATGAATTCTGAATTTTCCGTGACAATATGAGTAACCTCCTCCGTTCTCACCCCCAAGCTTGAACAACACCCAAGATCGAGGGCGAAGGAACAAACTGCGGGTTTGAAGTATACCTAGGTATCGTACCGCGGAAAGAAATAATGCAACAGACAACAGAGAGAAGAGAGAGAACAATCAACAAGCCCTGCTGGGGTATGAGATCGAAACCATGAGATCAACTCGAACTCAGACAGAAAATGGAAAAACTTTTTGAAACCTCATATTTGATCAACCATCGCATCCATACAACATGCACACAGATTCTCCCCAGACGAACATCACTCCGGCTGAGCGAGCTTGGCTAAGATTTCAGCCTGCTGGTTCATCTCCTTCGGCACAAGCCAGAACCTAACCGTGACACCCCCAGCCTCAAGAAACTCGATCTGTTGTTCCAGGCGTTTCCAGTGATCAATGTTCGCAACCGGTGACCCTTTGGCAGTCTTCCATCCCTTCTCCTTCCAGCCACGGAGGTGCTCGGTCAGTCCATCCACAACGTAGGAGGAGTGGGACTTAATAGTGACAGTACGCAGCACGTCACGCAAGGGGCTGGTCATCTTCACCGCAACTGCCATCCGCATGGCGTTGAGGCAGCCCGCGAGCTCGGCAACCTGCAAGGTGTGGCGGTCCCCACGCAAAGTAACACTCTTGTTGATCGGGTTTTCCCGTCCAAGGTAGACACCGTAGGATGCAATAGCCTCGCCCTTCCCATTGTTCGAACAAGCTCCGTCGAAAGCGATGACAATTTCCCCCGGATGATGCTCGTGGTTGTTACAGTGGGCACACTTGCGGATTGACGCTGGACACGCGAGGTGCACGAATTGTCCCTCGGGGCACTCAATGTCCTCATCTGTGAAGTTGATCGGGTAGTGTTCGTGAACGAGGAATCGGTGGTTGGCCATGGCTTGGGTGCGGTTTGGCGGGGAGGGGGTCGATCGGCCGGGGGTAGAGTGGTCATAATGGGACGTGGCACCATGGCCTCTGAGGGCTGGGTTGAATCTGCGGGGGTGGAATCTGCCGCCCTGTTAAGCTCATCAAGTTAGTTTGGGGTCTGCTCAAAGGGAAGCGAGATCTGTCTTACCGCAGAGCTAGAATGGATGAATCCGAAGTGACCCGCCACCATTTTGATTGTCGAGGAAGGCAGTAACAGCGGGGGCGAAAGAAGGACGGAATTGTGTAATGAGATGAAGGAACTGGTCTTTGCTGGAACGCGTGAGGTGTTATGAGGTGTTTTGAAGAATCAAGGGACGAGCAGGACCGAAGGGAGTGCTGTGAAATGATAGAATTGCTGAAGGAAGTCAAGCAAGAGGTCTCAGTCACTCATGGAGCCATCATTCGATGGATGCGGCCAGGGAAACAATGGAGGTAGAGGAGAGGGCGAAGAGAAGGGAAGAGCGAGAGGAATTGAGGCGGTTGTGTTGCTTCCTCGTCTGCGGAGGTCACGGCGCAGGAGTGGCCGACTAGCCATGACGACTTTCGGAGCACTTCTCTTCCCAGACACACAACACTTTGATCCCTACTACGGGAAATCAATAGAACGGCCGGCTGTTTAGTACTTGGAACGAGAAGAACTACTCTCCATATACAAGGATCTGACAGCAATGGATCGAGAAACCGGGAAGTCATCAAGCTCAATACTCGCTGAGCCTTGCTCAGAAAACCACATCTGGCCGCCACAACCATCGAAATAATGCGTATTCAAGATAGTCCATTCCTGCATTCTGGAGCTGAAACGAGATACATTCGTGCACAGAACAAAGCGATATCCAAGGACTTAGTCGCCGGGGACTGGACCAAACAAGGCATCAATTGCTGTGGGCACGTCAGATTTCAAGCGCATCTTGGCTAGATTATCAGCCTCTTGGTTCATCTTCCGCGGCACCAGCCAGAACTCGACCTTCAAGTCTTGCTCCAGCTGCTCGATCATCCACTCGATCAGTTTGAAGTGGCCCGCGTTGGCCACCGGCAATCCTCTGCAGTTCTTGAACCCATTCTTCTTCCACTTCGGCAGCCACTCCGTAACCCCTCTTACGACATACTCGGAGTCCGACTTGAGGACAACCCGTCGCAAAGGATGCACAACCGATAAGTAAGCCTCTATGAAGCCTGCCCGTGTCAAGGCATCCTCGCAAGCCTCCAATTCAGCCACCTCGCTGGTATGTTTATCAAGGGAGTTGAGGGTACACGAGATGTTTAGTCGATTTCTGGGCCCAATATAAACACCAATTGACGAGAGCGCATTCGGCTTCCCGTTATTGGAGCAGGCGCCGTCGAACGCGATGACGATATCACTCGTATGGGCTTCACTGCCGCAGCAAGGACATCCAGCGTCGTCGCCTCGACAGGCCAGCATTATACATGGACCAAAGGGCACTTGGACGCTCTCTAAGCTCTCTCTCTTTGGATATTCGACCTCCGGATGGAATCGTCGGTTCGGCGGCGCCTTGGCTTCTGCAGGCTGTGGTTTCGCTGTCAAGGACGATTGGCGAGCTGGATGGCTAGAGACGGCCTTGTGCGACAATAAGTTGTCATCTTCATCGTCTGAGCTGAGGTGCTTGGACTTGGAGACGGTCTGGACCTGAATCGTGATTCGTGACGGGTTGATCGTGTTAGCATAGTGGGCCGTGGCTATGGAGCCGGGGAACGCATGCGGACCACGTACCTGGAGCTCGGCCTGGGCCTGGGCCAGCTTTCTTCTCTTGTTTGCTCGCGGCATGTTGGCAATCGTGTAATGGTTGAGTTGTCGATTGATACTTACATAGGGCCAGATGAGTCTTTTGACGGCGTTAAATAGTGGGAAGCGGGGTAGAAACCGGGGTAGGAACGGGGTAGAACCATAAAAGGAAGGACGGGACGATTGGCGCAGGAGACGCCTCGAGAATCTGCAAACAGCACTGCGTACTATATCTACAGGTAGCCCCCCACTTAAATACAGACGCTGGCATAGTCCATATAACAACAGTCATCAAAGCATGGGATTATCGTCCGATTGTACAGTTGGCCCATCTTATGTCCAAGAAGTAAAATAGCCATATGATAGAGTAGACTCTATAACGCATCCTGATTAAAAGTGTCCAAAGTCCTCAAGAGGTTTCACGAACGAAGGTTCCCTGGCGAAGCATGCATCTCGGGTTGCCAAGCCTGTCGAACCCATGCGGTAAGTGATTATGTCCCATTTAGCTCATTTTCGGTAGCGTGGGGACGATAGCAAGATTTATGCTACACTAATACCCTCATCTATTTTCTTAGGTTGTCAGTGGCCTGTTGCTGGCTTGCCGCCAGGAATGGCGGACTGGGAGCTTACCATACTGCAGAAATATATATCAATTTCACTTCGGGAACAACGCAGCGTTGGCTGAGTTTTTTTATCAGACAGGAAGGGATAAAGAACTTACCTCAAGAATGTATAAATTACAAGCGTAATATTAGAGTTTGGAAAGGCTAATATGCTTTATCTGAATCTATTTACTATACCTCCACTTCAAGATCGTTAGCAGACCACTTAGCACTAGGCCGAGAACAGCGTACAAGGACGTTAAAGCCATAGCCACTGGTCTTAAGTTTGAACAGAGGTTAAGGTTTTTGTTTTAGAAGACAAATAGAGGACGGTCGGTGCCTGAAGTCTTCCCTGGGGTTTCCTGTCTGCAGCGACTGGTCATCAACCCGGTTCAACTCTTTAGACGCCTGATGGGGATGAATTGGATACAAGTCACTTAGGTATTTCATTTCAACTCCATTTAGTATCTCTGCCCTTTCAACGCATAATGATCTACTTGTACTCATGTTCAAAGAACTTGGTGAGCAAAGGAACAATCCAGGATAAAGGACAAGCACACACCAGACAAACGTCCTTGTTGTCTGAAAAAAGATTTCCTTGTACTGCCTAGTAACAAAGCGCTTTATGTCGGTATGGCCATAAAAATGGCCTAAAGTCCCGAATCGAACCCGCCATCAGGAACAGCAGCAAAAGCTTTCTCCGAGCCAAGTGAGCCAACCAGATTCCTACCAACCAGACCTTTCAGCACGAACGCCAAAATGCCTCGCACCTGCAGCTCCCCCGAAACGCTCTGCGAAAAATGCCGCCCCATATACAAGAAGCTCCAGAAGCACAAGCTCCCCAAACAACTAACGCCGGACGTGATCTTCCCCCTCTCAGAAGTCTACCCCTTCGTCCTAAAGCAGGAGTTCCCGGCAAACTGCAGCGTCGAAATCTCCGAGGAATTCGTAAACCAGATCTCCGACGCCATCAAGGCCTGGTGCAAGGAGCGCTACGACATCTATGATGTCGACAAGCTGCGCATTTCGTTCAATGCAACTGATACCACGGATAAGCGGGATAAGCCGATAACGCACTTTGCTCTCATGGTTGATGCGCCGGAGTCCATGATCCTTACGGCTCAGGATATCGGTAAGATCTTTTCGTTTATGCCCAGGAAGTATAGGGAGCGCTGGAGTTATGTGTCTTTTGAGGAGTTTGATGATTGTATGACGTACCATCGGTTGAAGTTCTTTTACTATATGGTTCGTTAAGCAATGGCCCGAGGTTACTATTATGTGCGTTTTCTATAACATGAAGAACATAAGAAATTTCCCCCCCCCTTGTTTTGAGATTTTGTGCAACAATACTCCTACTCACTGGAGTAGTACGTAGAAACATAATGTAAAGCCATACGCGACACAAATTGGGTGTTATTGAGAAACTACCTTATATCTAGGATGGCAGCGAGGCACAATAGCCCTTGCAAAAACAGTCACTAAAGAGATTAAACCCTGTAGCAGATACTGGGCTAACGCCATATCTATCACCCTCCAATAATAAATGCAGAGCGTGTGAATCCAAGGAGGAATTCTGTGGCATAAGGTTAGAAGCTTATTATTTTTAATAAAAAATATATCTAATTCCACGAACAGCTATATTACCCCATCTACAGGGAAAGGTAAAGTGCCTATTTCAAGCGCAACGCGCAAACAAATAGCCAAAACCATTCTGTTTCGCTGCGAGTCTCCCTTGACTCAGACCTGGTAGCGCTCCGCAGGCGCTTAGGGCTGGCTCCACTCGCGACTGGTGTGGCTATGCGTATCTAAGCCTCCAACACCCAACGGCAGTGATCAGCAGTTCGTGAATAAATACCAAGCCTTCCCCGGTCCTCATCTGCTCTCACTTACCTCCATGACTTGAACCATGACATCAACATCAACCTCAACATTCCCCCTCGAAACCCTCCCAACCGAACTCCAATGCGCCATAATCTGCTTCCTCGACCCGATAGCGCTAGTCAGCCTGTCTCAAACAAACACCCACTTCCGCCATCTCATAGACCCAAGCCGCACACACTTCACCGAGCGTCTTCTCGCCCTCGAATGCCGCGAGGCAGAAGGAGGCCCGCAGATTAACTTCTCGCGCTGGGGAACCCTCGATCCGGATCGGAATAGCCCGCAGTGGGAGGCGAATCGATGGGCTTGCACGAGCTGCCTCAAGCTCTTGCCGCATTGTGCATTTGATAATTGGGCGCTGTCGAGAATCGGGTATCGTAAGCCGATTCAGGGGTCGGGGATTGCGGAGGCATGTACGACGTGGGAACCCACGGAAAACGCTAGACGAGCTGCTCAGAGTGCGAAATTTTTGGCATTGATGCATAGAGACCCCGCCCTTAGAAAGCGCTACGCGATCAGCACGACGTGCAACTGGGGCCGGTATCGACCAACGCCCCCGCACGGGATGTCGCCCAACATCGAACTCATGCAACGACACCTCAATTTCCAGGAAGAGGGGATTGAGGAGGTTCAGGGTATGACGTTCTCGGAGTTCGAGAAAGCAAGTGAGGACGGAATCTTTGCCCGCGACGCCCGCGCCGTTGAGGTTCTCCGGGCGGGCGCGAACCGGCATGTGCGCCGGTGCATTGAGTGTCGGTTTCGACGGGGTGAATTCCGGGGCTCAGCGGGGAGAGGGAGGGGGATTGGGACGACGAGGGTGCCTATTGTTGTTGGGAGACAGAAGTCCTTTGGGACGGTCATCGATCGGTATTTCCCTGGTGTTTCGGACGTGCTGGAGAATAAGCGTCCGGATGTCAAGGCGCCTGTTTTCACGATTTATCGACAAGACTCGCTTGATAAGCCGTGGACGCTTTATCGGGTCCGGTGTCCAAATTGCGAGAAATGGAAGGAGCTCCGCGCTTTTAGGGTCGGGGGCGTTTGGCCACGCTGGAAACCGGTTGACCTTTCGGATACGGCGATGCATGGCGATGTTTATCAGAACTGGGATGGGACGGGAGTTACCGAGGGTTCTCTGAACAGTCTCTGCTGCAACCACTGTTTTGTACAGAAGCACGGTCGTGAAAAGCTTGGTGCTGAACTGGCGAGATGGTTCGCGCACCTCATCGACATTGAGCTGGTCAACGCGGGGAGCAATCTTCTCAGTGGCTTCAGAGGTCTCCAGGACTCCTCGCTCCACGCCGAAAGATCCATCAAGAACAGGATCAAGGCGCTTCTCTGGGACATGAAGCATCTCTTCGATAAACGGTCTGACCTTAGCGCGACTGATGTGGCGTTGTTGAGACAGCGAAGGGCGCTGTGGATTGCCGCTGGGGATTTATCCCCTAGCTGGAAACGCCCGAACAAGTGGCATGTTGAGTGGGTGAGGTATTATGATGAGAGCGAGGTAATGTGGTATTGGCTTAAGGCTTGTAAGGAAGAGGTCCAGGAGGAGGGGATAGGCAGTAGACTCGTTGAGTGGGCGTTGGGGCGGGATGAAGCTGCTGCGTCGGGAGTATCGAAGAATCTGATTGTGTAGAATTGTGTTTCCGAGGGTTGATGGAGGAGACCTGGTGTATCTGAGTTGTAACCTGAAGGTTCTCCAACTTCCACCAGGTCAGAACCAGAATCATCAAAAGGGCAACTGCAACAATCTCTTTTACCTGGGATTGCCCTTCCGCTTTGAATCATCATCTCGCACCCTCAATATGTCGCTATCGTACCACCGCATGTGCAGGGCTAATGCTGAACATCGGCCTCTGAGCCAGAGATATACTAGGACTGGTCCTGGCCACCACGGCGAAGATTATCGGTTCGCGCGTCCGAATGATAACGCGCATAGCCATAACAACACCACTAAACGCGTGTATGGACACCCTGGTGGAATGAAGGCGCGGAGAGAAAGGAGCGGACTACGATGCTGATTCCAAGCGTGGGGACGGATCCTGCACTGTGGTAGCTTGGTATTGGTGACGCCGGTGTGTTGTTGAATGAAAGAACGACCGAGTAGGAAATCAGAGGCATTGACCGTACCTAATGTAGCCCGGGAAAACGCGAAACGCTGATCCGAACTGTACTAATAAGTGCCAAGTGCAATCAGGCCGTCATGGGATGGAGTGCATTTGGCGAGTGGTGGGAAGGTAAAGAGTCACTAGGACTGCAAACAGTGTTCAGTTGCTCTAACCGCAGCCACTATCCTCAAAGTCGCCGGTGGAAAGGGCAAGAAACAGGGTAAAAAGGCTCTTCCCTATAGGTACAGCCAGCGCCGACAGCGATAGCTGGATCCCAAGTTAGGCAAGGGAATGGTGTGTATCGTTGAGTGGGTGCTGGTCCAGACAAATCAGAAAGGGCGCTAGTCCGAACAAAGAAACTTGTGGCCTGAGGTGCCAAATCTGTCATTTCAACGAGGCAACGCTTCTGCATCTCTCCATCAACACCAACTATCGAGAACGCATCTTGCGCCTCCTACAAGCGGCATTACATCGTCCTCGAAGGAGAACAAGCGCCATCTCAGGTGCAACACTCGTTCCCATCAATCGTACCTTCCTCAACAACCGCCGCTTCCTCCTTTCCTCTGGCCATACTGCACTCGCCCTGTCCATCGCGTCAAACTGACTCCACTGGTCAGCGACATGCAGCTGTGGCTGATGCCCAGCCCTGAAACGCGTAATCGGGGCACGAAGACCTGCTCTGTCAGCATAAGCATCGGCAAGCAGCCCCCGGCGCAAGCGGATTTCGATCGGAGTTAAGGAGCGGAGTTGCTGCGCCTCTTTGGCAGCGATCGTTGCCCCGCTATATACTGGCGATCGTTAAGATAAGGTATGGGCGTTCGAGCAGTGATGAAACTGTCACTGACCTATTTTTGCCGAAGCTGCTGGGTTCTTCGTACAGTTTTCATGGCCAGGACTGCCTTTGATAAGCTGACCACACCTCTTCATCCACTCAACCTCTATCAGCAAGAAACTATCGATCTAAAGAACGCATCTTACCCATCGCCAACTCAAAACGCACCCGAATCCCACATGCCACATCCAGCAAAAACCAGATGCGCGAGGCTGTGCACGCAAGCCAACCTTCCCGGACAGATTCAACACCAAAGAGCGGAGTATGCACCAACCGCAGTGTCAGCATTGGCGCTCCCACGATGACGAGGCCCTCTTGGCCCGCGCAACGGGGTCCAACCGGGTCCGGCGGGGATTCGTTATCCTGATGCCTAAGCTTGGCATAAGCCTACCCTGACGTTCTACGATGTGGGGCTGAGCTTTTGCAACGGTTTGGTGAGCAAGGCCAGCTGCATCTCATTGTGGTCGGCGGATCTCGTGGGCGGAGCTGGAGGGTCAGGGCTTGTTAGTGAAGGTCAGTGGTTGGGTTATATACCCAGTGCCATCTGCAGGTTGCGCTAGATAGGAGGGGTGATTTTTCGACCTTGGAGGCGTCACTACCATGAGGAGCCAGTCCCACGTATTCTCTGCCTTCGTGGTGTACTTGCTTTTCTTATTACTATCTCAGTCGGTGAAAGGTAAGTCATCCTGCTTTTCACAAAACTACTTTTGCAAGCAAGGCATTGAGACTGGGATCGACCTGACATTCGCAGGATACTCAATCCGCTCCGTCGCACCACGGAGCAACGGCACAGCGCTGCAGAATGTTGCGATCTATACCCCCGGTCAGCGAGTTAGCGCCACCGCGCCATTTAACCTGACCTTCACACTAGAGGAAGAAGAAGATCGGACGATCAAGCTGGCCCTTGAGCCGAACCATGACCTTATGATCCAGGACCCTCATATCAACTTCCTTGGCGATGGAGAAGTAAGGACAGAGTTTCTGCGACGAGATAACCATAAAGTGTTCAAGGGCGTGGCTCACGTTCAATCGCTCGCATACCGATGGGAAAAGGTCGGATGGGCTCGCATGAGCGTCGTTCGCGATGGTCTGGATCCGCTATTCACAGGCGCATTCAGTATCGAGGGCACACAGTACGATATCAAACTCCGGCCCGGCTCATCAAACCAAGCCCGAAGAGAAATGCTCGTCTATCGTATCCACGACGATTCCTCATCACCCAACCCAGCGCTCTCCACCCTGATATCCCTTCAACCCCGGCAATGGACCCCAACCCTCGACTCCTCCGACTTCATCTCCACCATCGGAGACGACTCCGGCTGCCCCAGCGACCGACAAATCGCCCTCGTCGGCATCGCAACAGACTGCACGTTTACTGCCTCCTTTGACTCCTCCGAAGACCTGACCTCCGCTCTAATCGACATGGTCAACACCGCCTCCCAAGTGTTTGAGAGTTCCTTCAATATCGCCCTATCCTTCCACAACCTCTCCATCTCGGACTCCGCATGCCCTTCCACCGCATCCAGCTCAGAACCCTGGAATACGCCTTGCAGTTCAGGAGACCTAAACTCCCGCTTGAATGCGTTCTCGTCCTGGCGCTCGAATCTCCGCGGCGACGATAATGCATATTGGACACTTATGACCGGGTGTCCCACCGGCTCCGAAGTCGGCGTTTCATGGGTGGGCGAACTCTGCGGCGAGATGGGCGTGAATGTTGTCGCGAGCGCAGGCAACCAATGGCAGGTCTTCGCGCACGAAAGCGGACATACGTTCGGCGCGTACCATGACTGTGAATCGACGCAGTGTTCCCTTTCCAGTTCGTCCCGGCAATGCTGTCCGCTCTCGGCGAATACCTGCTCTGCTGGCGCGGCGTACCTTATGAACCCCGTTTCCTCGAGCCCGCAGACGGAGTTCAGTCCGTGTACGGTTGGGAATGTATGCTCTTCTCTTGGCCGGGGACGCGTTGATAGTCGGTGTCTGACGACGAATACGGATACACCCACTGTGTCTGTGGGAGAATGCGGGAATGGGATTGTGGAAGTCGGCGAGGAGTGCGATTGCGGTGGGGATTGCGATGGAAACGCTTGCTGTGATGGGGCTACGTGTCGGTTCCGAGGGGATGCTGTTTGCGACTCGTCCTCTGGAAATGAAGATGGCGATGGGTCCTGCTGTCGCGACTGCCAGTTTCTCTCACGCGGGACGGTCTGTCGCGCTTCACGTGGTGAGTGTGATATCGAGGAAGTCTGTCCCGGCGACTCGGGTGATTGTCCGAATGATGAAACCGAAGATGACGGGAGTTCGTGCGGCGACGATTCCGAAGACCTCTTCTGCGCCAGCGGGCAATGCACGAATCGTGATCTGCAGTGTCGGGAGCAGATATCCGGCGACAACTCCACCATTTCGTCCTGCGGGAACAGCACGGAGAGCTGTATCCTCTCCTGCAGCGGCCCGTTCTCCTCCGGATCGTGCTCCAATGCAGGGACCGTCCTTGATGGCACGCCCTGCTCCAACGGCCTCTGTTCATCTGGTGTATGTCGGTCCGCGACTAGAGACAACCCCAGCAATGAATCCTGGATCGATCGGCATCGAGCCCTCGTTATCGGCCTGTCGGCAGGAATCGGCGGACTTCTGGTTCTGGTTATCCTGGCCTGTCTGGTTTGCTGTTGTTGTCGGAAGCGTAGGCCGAAGAGGATGCGGCCAGTGCCCGTGGCGGGTGCCTTGGCTGAGCGGAGGGCTGGGGTCTTGATGCGTGGGAATAGGGGCTTTGTCCCGGGTCCCGGGGCACAGGTTGCGGGCGTGTATATGCCGCCGCCGGCGTATACGCCTGCGCCGGTAGGGCCCGGTGTGCGGCCGACGGCCCCGACATCTTTTCGGTATGCGTGATAGATGTGGATATAAATCGACTACTTGTTTTTCTACCTAGAATATCCATATGTTGAAAGTATGAGCTGCTGATGGACCCCTTCACATTCGTCTCCGTGTGCTTATCGGTGATCAAGGCTCTTGTGGGCAGCAACCTATGATGCAATTACGATCAATTTGGAGAGCAGTGAATATACCCTGGATGTTCTTGCCATCCTGAGCTTGAGATATGGAATCCCGTTGTCCAATTACGATCACTCCCGTCTTATCTCAACTTTTCGCCCTTATTCCGGTAGGCAATACTCACTGCAAGACCCGCAGTGATTAAGGCAGTGATATATGGCTCTCACTAGGGTTCAAATTATGGGCAACAGAAGAGCTCAAACATTGCTGTTGCTGTATCCTTGAAGACCACTCCGTGTTCGCTTTGTCAGATTGGTGTACATAGGTATGCCTCCCAGCACAGCCTCCAGCCTCTCTCCAAGACCTTGGAAGGCCGAGGCAATGACAATCGGGACAGTGGAACGCCCCACCTTGCCCCACCTTGCCCCGCCGTAAGCATCCTGCATTAGCGGCATGTGTCGTCCAATCACAGGCCTCTGCCGCGAATCAAGGTCCGTGCCAGATCAGCGCCTCGCATAAATCCGACCTCGGGACTCTTTTCTCCCCAGTTCCTCCCCCAAGTACACCTCACGCGCCACATGCAAACTTTGCTTATGCTTATGCCGCAAACCACCACCACAATGCCTGAACTCACTACTTTTGCCGCTGATGATAGGTCCACCTCTGTCGGGATTCCCCTGACACACATGCCACAGCAGGTCCACGTCTGGAGCGCAGACGATGACTGGACGGGCGTCGTCGATCGCCGCGAGAGGAGGAAGTTGCAGAATCGGCAGAATCAGCGGAAGTGGCGTGCGTTCGTCCCTATCATCAGCCACAGCTCTATAGGAGCTGATTCGGGTGGTTTCTAATGTTTGCAGGCGAGCGGAGGAAAGCGTCCGCACGAGGCTCCGGATCCCCAGCCAGCAGCAGCACCGGTACCGGCACCGGCACCTCAACAATATCCCTCGCGGTATACACAGCAAGCAACACAGTCCAGCACCAAGATAATAAAGCAATCGACACCCTCTGCGATCACGCGCCCCCCAACGCCCAAGAATACCTGCGCGCCTTCGAAGCCCGCCTCCGCCAAAGCTACATCACCAACTCGCCCGACCTCGACCACCTAATCGGATTAACACGCCTCAACGTCCACCGCGCAATACGAGAAAATATCCGCGCCATCGGGATGACAATCGAATGGACGAACTGCGACGACAGCCTGTCCATCTTCAACCTCACGCACCCGCACGGCCCCTCTTCCACAGGGCCCTTCACCCTGAACATCGAAAAAATCCCACTCGCCCTGCGCCCCACGCACATCCAGAAAACAACCCCGCACCACCCCTGGCTCGACTTCTTCCCGTTCCCGTCCATGCGCGATACGCTGATCACGGCCTCGGCCGGGCTGCTGTTCGACGACGACGAGCTCTGCCACGACCTCATGGCGTTCTGGGATACGCGGAACACGCAGGCGACGCTCATTGTGTGGGGGGCGAGCTGGGAGCCAAGGAATTGGGAGGTCAGTGAGGCGTTTGCGCGCAAGTGGGGGTGGTTGCTGGTCGGGTGTGAGGAGTTGCTGGTCTCAACGAATGTTTGGAGGAGGAGGAGGGGGGAACGCGCGATTAATTGGGGGAGGGTGCTGGGGAGTAAGTCGGGGGGTAGGGGTGTTTGGGATGTGGTGGTGGAAGGTGTTTAGGTTGGGTTATGGGAGGGATGCGGATATGCTATATGATTTCAATGCGTTATCGAGGGTGTATGGTTGTACCATGTCCCATGGCCCTGGGTGCCCTAGGGTATTTGGAGAGGTGTGGTCCTACTCTGTATGGTTATTGTTTCCAGGACTCCTGTTCCAGACATTCTATTCAAGCTTCCTTGGACCTTCGACCATCTTCGCTACTTCGAAGAGCTGTATATTAATGGAGATGGAACCTATGGTAGCTGCCCGGATACCATGGATTGCCCGGTCTGCCATCCAGCGGAAAAATAGCTCTAGAGCCTCGACTCGAGAGCCCCCGGCGTCGTCATTTTCCGGTGATAGTCAAGGAACCAAAGAATCAGCACTTTCCTTATTATTTTCTTTGGGATTTGTTTACAACACATTCCCAGCTTTGTATTCTAGCTTCTTTAGACGCACCAGCACAGCGGAGGCAATATTCCGGATACACCACATTAGAGAAGCTGAAATGGATTGAAACGGATTGGATTGGAAATATAGCATGCTTAAGAGGGCTATCCACATCCACAAGCCTTGATATCAGGGTTGTATTTACCGAATCACAGCACCATCTTCATCACATCACGGAATACAAGTCCACCAACGAGAGATTGCGATGTCGAAGGAAACGCTGGGCTGTCTTGATATCACCACTCATGGCAGCCCGCCGGCCATCAAGTCCGAGGAAGTGTCTTCCGAGCGAAATCCCTTTTTCCGCCGCACATTCAAATTGTTTTCTTCCACTTCCATCACCTCCAGCCGTTATCAGCGTCGAGACGCCAGCAACTGACTAACGAGAAATCAACATGGCGTTCCTATCTACCCTCCGATCCGGCGGAAGGAGCATCCTTAACTGGTTGTCCTTCTCGAACGACAAGACCCCGGCCCAAAACGAAAAGAACCAGCCCGGTAAATGGGCGAAAGGAGGTTGGAAGGAGCTACAAGACGACGCCGATTTAAACGCAGAGAGCGAGATCACTTTGAAAGAGCCTGAAGAGGGCTGGATAAAAGCAGCGAAGCAAGAAGGAGCCGAAGCCAAAGCCGAACAACTCTCCATCGACGATCTAGTCGACCTCTTCAAGCTAAAGCGATTCACCGGACCCATCGTCGACATCACAGATGAAGAACTCATCGATCTGCCGCAGGAATACTGTACCTCCTCTCCCCTCCCCTCCCTGATCCCCGAATTCAAAAGTGGATGGTAATAACTCTGATTCCAACACCAGACCACGAGTTCGACTTCGCCCCCGACGACAGCCCCGTTCTCGAGCTCGAACGCGCCGCTATCCTGATGTACGGCATGGTCCACGAGGCGGCGAGCGTGGACGAAGGGATGAAACCCAATGACCAGTGCTCCTATGCAACAGAGAGCACCCTGGGCATCATCCTGAAGCGTCGTGGTGAGCCAGTGGAGGTGGAGAGCCAGGCGGACATTGTGTGTTGGCGTGAGAGTGCAGGCAGGGGCACGGGCCGGGGCTTGGTTGTCACGGGGACGGAGGAAAACACGCAGGGGCTGGATGCGAGGGTCGAGTGTGTTGCGCATATGGGTATGTTTGGTCCGATCCCTGCTGCTGCACTTCCTAGTTTCAATTCTGCGAGGAGGGACGCTACTGCGCAACCCTTTCTCAGCTTACATTTGCTAACCGCCTTGTCTCGGACTCGACCATAGCAACGTTCCTCCGCACGAAGAAACTCAAGAAGGCTGTCATGTACGGCTTCGCCTTGGTAGATGAGGAATACGTTATTCTTATGAGGCTCGACGCAAAGGGGAACGTGAGTGCCTCGACGCCTTTACCAGGTTCAAATACTAACTAAAGTATGGGATGGCAGTTGACCGAATGGCGCCCTGCCTTCGCCCCGACATCCACTAATAGACGCGAGTTCTTTGCTATCTCGCGTCTCTTTGGGCGCCTTGTCTTTGGTATGGCGAGGGATGAGGCGCCCAGGGTCCCGGGTTTGGGGTTGGCTGCGAGGATTCGCGGGTTCTTCGATTGGAGGCGGATGGTCTGCATGTAGGTCGGGAGGGAACATCTGCACCGGCCTGGGTGTACGTAGAACTGGGGGGACTTTGAGGATTGGTGGACGGCGCGCGCTCCGTGTTTTTTCATTTCAAAACTGTTTGTTTGTTTTCGCGAATTGCTGTAGCAAAGATGGAGGTATGGGATTCTGTGCACCGGGTGGAGCAGGAGTTTATTGGAGTTGGCGTGAAGGAGTCATGTTTCTTTATCATTTCTTGCTCTATCAGGTATCCTAAGCTCCTTGCATCACTCATTTATGCATGTTTGTCTGGAATCTGCGTTGAGTACGTGGACGAGTAGACTTCCGTTCTTCCAAGCCCACCCTGGCAGCGGCAATAGCAATCTGATTTCTGGATCAAACCAAAGATGTCTATTACAGGTGCGTCCGGCGTACAATGCTGAGGACTTGCTCATCGTTCTCCAGAGGGGCGAAAATGTCTGTCACAGTCGTCGGATTCTCTACTGCGTTGGAAAGTTCAAATCGCGGTAGTCGGAGGAATGCACACTCGGTGGTTTCATCATCTAGCAAAGGAATATCTGAGGTTTATGTCGACACGTTAATCCTCCGCTGATCAGTTGCATATTTCTGAGCTTTTCTGTGCCGATTCCCGAATAGATACTCGGAGCACACTCTCCAGACGACCTTATTGTCCGGCCGTCGAGCTTGCAAGTGGTATTGAGGAATCCGAATTTCATTAAAGCAACGACGGAGATGCACGAGATACTTATACCAGTCGGCCTCGGCGCTAAGCACGCTCCGTCTCCGACATTTTGTTCTTCGCTTCTCGCCGATGACCATGACCAAAAGATATGGCCCAGGGGTTCAACTAAAAGAATGACCTGACCGTTAGCTCAACTACTTGTCATCTTCTTGATGGCCAATCGCAAGATTCTTCCGAATAAGGTTCGGGCCCACGTTCCCCACCCGCCCGCTCGGGTGCAACGTCGACTGGCGATCCCCGCGATTGGACCCAGTATACTTCAAGCATTTCTCCTAGGAAGCAGCGGATCTGGCTGCTATGGGTCTCAACCTCGAGCGTTCATCTGACCACTGATGCGGGCGCGACGTCATGCAGAATTCTCTTAAAAGTTCGCCCTCTCCCTATCAACCGCTGCCAACTCCAACACCGCGTCCATGCATCATAGGCAGAGGATGAGACTTTCCGCCTGCGACAAGTATAATGTGGGTTTTGTTTCAGTACCGGCGCATCTGGAAAGACGTCGAACGTGAACTAGTTCCGGAATGGGTACGTCCACACCTGCTACTGACACTGCTGAACTAACCGGCGCAGCAAGACGTTAGCCGCCCCTGCGAGCACGAGCAGATGGAGGTCCACCACAAGTACGACGAACACCATACGCAAGAGGAAATCAATTCGCTATACTTTAATGATGAGGTTGGCAGCATCGACGCCCACAGTTGGAATACCGCGACCAAATGGATGGCAACGTTGATCGTCTGCTGCATCTCCGGAGTCGTGGCGATGGTGACTGCGATCCAGGCATCGCTTGTTACCGTCATAGCAGCGGACTTTCAAGTGTCGCAGGAGGCTGAGAACTGTGCAACTGGTAAGATCTCTCCATTTATCGTGGACACTGCTAAACCCCTAGGCATGTTCCTGTTCGGCTTCGCTGTCGGCTCCCTCGTCACCGGCCCCTTCTCCGAAACATGCGGACGGAATCTTGTGTTCAGCGTCACCATGGGCCTGATGATGTGCTGCCTCGCACTCTCAGGCATTTCGCACACCCTCGCCCAGCAACTCGTCTTCCGATTCCTAGCCGGCTTCCTGGGTTCCAGTCCGCTAGTCTGTGCTGGCGGCTCCATCTCCGATATGTGGACGCCCGTCGAGCGAGTCTACGTCTTCCCGGTCTTTGCCATAGTCTCCTTCATAGGGACTCCGATCGCGCCAATCATCGGAGGCTATCTCGCCCGGAACAACGCATCCTGGCGGTGGAACGACTGGATCAGCATCGCCGTCACCGGCTTCTTCCTTCTGCTGGTCGTCCTAATCCTCCCCGAGACCTTCCGGCCCCTCCTCCAGCGAGCCAAAACACACGTCATCAGGAAACGGACGGACAAGTGGGAGGTCCCCGAAAACCCCCAATTCAAAGCTCAGCCGCCCCTCTGGCGTAAAATCATCGATGGCCTCTGGCGCCCGTTCGTCCTAACCGCGTACGAGCCCATCGTCGTGCTCTTCACCTTTTACCTCTCTCTCATCTACATCATCCTCTTGAGCTCCCTGAGCGGATACACCTTCATCTTCAGCAATACGTACGGGCTAGACAACGCGCAAACAGGCCTTACATTCCTCGGCATGCTCGCGGGCAACTGCGCCTCAGGCTTCCTGATCCCCTACGGAAAGAAGCTGTACGCCCGAGACCTTGAAAAAGCCATCGCCATGGCGGAAGAGCACAACGACGACCAACGCCGCAACCACTCCGACTCCGACTCCCAGGAGCTCATCAAAACAGAGGACGTCTCCCCGCCCCCAGAAAGCCAGCTCTACTACGCCATGGTCGGCGCCCCCTTCATCCCGATTTCACTCTACTGGATGGCGTATACCGCCCGCCCGGATATCTCCTACTGGAGCCCCATAGTCGGCTCCTCGCTCTTCGGCTTCGGCTTCTCGCTCGTTTTCGTCTCATGCTACCAGTATCTGTCCTCGTGCTACGGCATCTGGACGGCGTCTGCGCTGTCGGCTGTGAACTTTCTCCGCGCGTTGGCGTCGGGTGGCATGTTTATTGCTAGCATGCCCATGTATCAGGCCATGGGCGTGATGTGGACGCTCACGATGCTGGCTATTGCGGCGACGGTGATGGTCCCCGTCCCGTATGCGTTTTATAAGTGGGGGAGGAAGGTGAGGAAGTTGAGTAAGCATGCTTGTAAGGATTGAGGGATGTGGTGGGTACATGTCTTAAACTGTGTTTATTAGAATGGAATACGGATATTTTGTTGGAAGCGGGCGATGGCGTTCTTATTGTTCATAAATCACATGTCTAGCTACATTAGACACAATTAGAGACTGTTCTGTGCATCTTTCTCCGGTACCATCCAAGGTGCATTCCATGGATTTAGAATTAATCAGCCGCAAAAAATTGTTTTTCAGTGGATGGTATCGATGGCAATTTAGGTAGACCCCCAAGCAGAACCAGCTGCTGCCATGGGAAAGGCTTTTCATGTAAGTAGCGAATGACACAATGAAGAAGTCTATTCCTGAAGGTCAATCGGAATCATGTTCCGTGCGAAACCTGTTACTGAACCCTTGTTCCTCATACCGGATGCCGTTATGATTATGGGTGTGGTACAGCGGTATAGAAGGATGATCGTCGCCCAAGAGTCAGTTATCTGCAACATTGGAATCCTGGTCCATCTGTCTGTCCGTGTCCAGGTGTCCAGTTTCGCCCTATCCAGTCCTTCAGTTCAAGCCGGGGTGGAAAGGTTTGAACGGCGCGGTTTTTGTTCCTAGGTCATCAGTACTCAAATCACGTCTCCAGCTGTCTTAGTGACCTGTACATTCTCTGTGTGGACGCACTCTGCTCTGTATAAACTGGAAGATACGAACAGCGGAGAATCGCATCGGCCCAGAATCAGTGGATGTCCCGTTTCCCTTATGTTGTTGCATATCCTGCATTTCTGCTGTTAATATGAATGGCAATGCTCGCTTTGCCTGCCGCGTAGTCCATGTGTTCAGCGTCCGTTTTGACCGGTGCCGCTAGGTCTAGTTGCGCTTATTGTGAAAGCTCTTTGTATTTCTGGACTTTGGTGTCCATGGGTACAATACCATGGTAATTGAAAGAGGACCATGGACAAGGAGCACGGTGAAGGAATCCATTCAGTTTTATGCTTGTTTGTCTCGTTCACAATAGAAGCAATCCAGCTTGTGGACCATTGGAATAATGGAATTTCCTTGTTTTTGTTGTATTCAAGTATTCCATTCAACTATCAATGGCTCTTGAGTACAAAGGCACGGTGGCGCCTTCACCCCATTAACAAACAATGCATTGAACTAATATATAAAGCATGTCATAGTCGCCTGGTATTCAACCTCAAAAAGATATCTCGCTAATTGTGTTGAGTGAGAAACCTACCCACCATACCTAGGTACCATCCATACATCTCTACATCACAGACCAACCCAACACATCTCACCAACTCAAAATGTCTAACACTACATCCACAGCTCATACCATCCGCCCCCGTACGCGGCAAGCAGAAACAAAGGACGAAAAATCTGAAGTCCTCCCCTACTTCCTAGGTGTGGAATGCGACTCCACCACCTGCGCGTTCTGCATCGTGCGGCGCAGGCTCGAGAAATTGTCGATGGCGATGGCAATGGCTGATACCAGTACCCCTGACCCCGTATATTCGCAAGGTGACGCGGATGCGGACTGGGTGCACTTCTCACCCCACGAGGCGGACGAGATGGGAATGCAGGGGGACGGGTCAGGCTGGATTTCCAACTTGAGCTTGAGCTTGGATGGTGGTGGAAGCCGGAACCGGGGCCGAGACGGATCGGCTCTTTTGGTCCTGCCTGAGCGCATCCTCCTGACCTCGCCAGATGACGATGGGGAATTCGCCCCGGGCTTGCAGTTCGTACTCTGGTCTATAACAGAGGACCAGGATGAGGATGAATTTGAAATTGAGGTTGGGATTGGGAATGAGAATGAGGATAAATACGAAGATGGATATCGCGATGAAGAAGAAGAGGTGTCCATCAATATGAAAATGGACATGGACATGGAGATGGAGATGGAAATGGAAGACATGGAAATGGAACCCTGCACGCGGATGCCCAACTGGAGGTCTGCGGCATGGGCACCGCCGCCTGCCATTATCGAGGAGGGCGAAGAGGACGAGGATTGCGAGGTTCAGACCGAGCCTTCTGCTTCGGGGTGGATTCATGCGGGACTGCTCCCGTCCAGCGATGCTGCGGCTTTGCGCGCGTATTATTCCGAGCTGGATAAGGGGGTGAGGAGGAGGTCGTGAGATTGTTGGTTTCTCTTCCCTCTGGGGTTTCTGATTTTCGGTTTGTTTTGTTGGTGTTTGTCTTTGCTTTCCTTGGTATATTTAATGAGAAATATGTATTGCGAATGTCCACTCTTTTTAAAGTAACTTAATATCTTAATTTAGTCTTCTATGATGTTGATGTACGCGACATAGAGCACTTGCTGTTATGAAAGTTGGTGTAGGATATTGTGTATAAGAAGCTGGAGGGTATGCTGCCCCGACCGCGCTTCAGTTAATAACAAATAACCTTCGTACTTTCAGAAGGTGGTTGTAGAGTGAAGCTAATGGAGTCCCGGGGGTTCCGTTGTCCTTTTTAAACTGTGGAAGATAGGTAGATGACTAGGAGTATTGGGATCACATCTCCATCTCCTCCTCAACCTCCGGCCAATCCTCCCACCCATCCTCCCACAACCCCGCCAACCGCTCCGCCTTCTCCCCCCTACTCAGCCTCCTACTCCTCATAATCTTCTCCCACCTCTTCATATCCCCATCATCAAGCAAACACCCATCCAGACACTCCGTCACAGCCTGCACATCCAGCCCCTCCCCAATAAACACCAACTCCTGCCGCCGATCTCCCCACTCACCCTGAAAGTCCCGACGAATTGACTCAGCCACGTCCTTGTCCTCCGGCCACATGGCCTCGCTGACCTCTGCGAACCAGGGGCCCCCGCAGCCCACTGTGAGCATTGAGCCCGCTTGGCTCCATTCGCCGAAGTGCGCGGGGCGGGTGGCGAGCCAGAAGAAGCCTTTTGAGCGGAGGATGGGTCCGAACGGGCTGGCTCTTTTGTTGGATAGGATTTGGGCTTGGTCTTTGATTGTGAATTCTGATATCTCCGATGAGCTGGAGTTGGAATCGGAGTCGGAGTCTGAGTCTTGGGTACCGGCTTCGGAGGAGTTCTCTTCTTCCTCTTCTCCCTCTTCCTCTTCGTTGTCGTCGTCGTCGTCGTCACCGCCATGCTCATGGCTGTTCAGCGACTGGAGCAGGATGAACTTGTCATGGATCAGCGAGAACAGTTTCCGCGGGTGGAACGGTCGGCGCGCAGTGTAGACGAAGTTGTTGATGCCGTATCTAGCGCCATGTTAGCATCACCAATTTCACATCCCAACCAAGATAAGGAAAACACGAGAAAGAAATGAGAGACACACTCCAACGTCTCCGGCCTAGGCGCAACCCTCTTCCCCACCCCGGTCGTCAACACACTCATCTCATGTAAACTCCTCAACCACCCGGCCCCACTCGCAGCCCTAACGAAATCAAACCGGCCCGTCCCAAGAATCTCCTTGACATCAACCTTGGAGTAACTCGTCTCAATAAGCTTCGCGTCCGGATTCAACATGCCCACCAGCCGGCGGATCTTATCCAGTGTTTGCTGCTCAACAGTCTCGACCTTGTTCATGATCAGCACATCCGCGAACTCGATCTGGTCGACCATCAGGTCGGAGATCGTGCGCTCGTCTTCGGGGATTATGGCGTCCGACCCGTACCGGTCCGACAGGAACTCGGCTGTGTCGAAGTTGGAGAGCAGATTGAACGTGTCGATTACGGTGACGGTTGTGTCGAGGCGCGCGAGCGTGTGCAGGCCGCCGATTTGCGCTCTACCCCCATGAAGCCCGAGTCAGCATGGGATCGTTAACAACACAAGGGGATGGGAATGGGGACACACATCTCCTCCAACACCCTCCGGTCATCTTCGTCCAGTCCACTCCCTCCCTCAACCCCAGCCATCCCACCCCCTTCAACCTCCACCATCGCCTTACTAAACTCCGCCGTAAACGTCTCCGCCACCTGCATCGGCTCGCTAATCCCCGTGCTCTCGATGACAACATAATCGACCTCCTTCTGCTTCGTGAGCCTTGCGAGTTCAGCTAGCAGATCGCCCCGCAGTGTGCAGCAGATACACCCGTTCTGCAGCTGGATGAGCTTCTCTTTCGTCTGGGAGACTTTGTGGTGCGTTATTAGGGCGGCGTCGATGTTGAGGCTGCACGTTGAAGGGGTTAGCGGGGGACTTTGACTGGGAAGAGGGTATGGGGGTGTGTGGCGTACGAGCTCATGTCGTTGACGATTACGGCGATGCGCAGCCCGTGACCTGGGGATTTGAGGATGTGTTCGAGGAGGGTTGTTTTGCCGCTTCCCTGTGCAGCAGCACTGCTGTTAGTTCTTTTCACTGGGTATCATTTTGGCAGAGGTGAGGCGGCGTACCAGGAACCCCGAGAGCAGGGTAACAGGGAGCTGGCGAGTTTCCGGGGCGGCCGTCTCTTCGTCCTTTGCTATCATCTTGCTTGATTCTGCAGATTAACCACGATGGCTTATTGGAGATTCTCGTCAATGGATTGTGCGAGCTTTTTGATTACTTTGCATGCTCCCTCATTATATACAGCTACCTTGCTGGCACGCCGAACCCTAGTATGCCCCCAAGGTATCTCGCCTACGCGCCATGACCGGATTACAACGAGGCGTATAGTACACAGTGTAGCTGGGAGCCACAAATTCTGACATTCGCGTCGACCTGATTCGTTGGTCTGGTCTCCAAGGTACTTGGCCCCGTGCTCGCAGGGTCCCCGGTTAGGGTTACGGGTGCATAACGAGAATCAGAGCGTTCCTTATTGGCTGCTCAGTTTACCAACGTTAGACGCGATAGATTAATTATTGATTGCACTACATGCAAATAGCTATTTTAAATATGGCCAATAGCCGCATTTTGAATGTCTGGGCTGATATGCAGCACCATAGGGTATCTAAGGTTAAGTCCTCAACGACCCCGGCCTACCGCATACCCAGCTAGCCGGGGCTGGGAGTGCTAAGCTATGCTATTCTTTTGTTAGGCTGCCTGATAGAAGGCAAGCCTCCAGCATGCCATACTCGGATGAATGCTCTTCGGGGATTGAGTATGCGACCGACGGGAGGGCGACCCTGCGACAGCTCGCGTGCCCCTATTCTTACCACCACGGCCATTAGTTCTCTCACGTATCTTCGAAGTGTATAACAGCCTCGGTAGGTTATTTGATTCTCCGGACTCCTGGAAAAGTTGGAAAAGCGCAGCAACATCGCGAACTTGAGTGCGCATCAGCTCGATATATATATTTTGGCCTGGGCCCAGGATTTGCTAGGCTTGTACCAACCACCACTACCTGAGCCGACGCAGTGGGTTAAATATGGCAACCTATATGTGTCATCAGAGAATAAGATGTCCCATCGCCTGCAGCGACTTGAGCAAGCGACCTGGCAATTTTTCATCTGTCGCTCAAAGGACGATTGATGGATCTAGATAGTGTAGTCTGAACCGAAAAAACAGACAAAAAGCAGTAAACAAGCTTAGGACTCTAGAAGGGAGATCCAGTGTCATTCTAGAATTGCATCGCAATACGGTATTATCCAAAGAATACCAGGGCATTCTTGGTCGTCACGTACAAGGTTGCTGTTGATCCGCTCTTCTCTAAAGACTTTGCCTCATGAACCCTAACTATGCATTTCTCAATGTGGCGATACCATGCAGGTACTTTTAGGTACCCTGACGATGACTTGGCGCTAGGCGCAAGAGTGTAATGTTATCTGGATGGCGACATCAAGACCATTGATTTTCAATCAAGCTATAACATACTGGCACATGCATGAGCCCTAACGATAAGAGAGGTACCCCAAGATGCCAAGATGAGTGGCTTATCGCTGAACTCCCCAAGCATCCACTAAGAGCTTAGCATTCCCCACGTGCTGGAATGTCATACAAAGTATGGTCGGCGCCCAGTACTGACAATGCGCCCCCTGTCTTGAGCGTTGGCTGTCGTGTGATGGCAAACTCTCCTCAGTTTGTAGGTAAGGCTGAAGTCCAGCCGCTCTTCCAGGCAGCAGGGTATCGCAGGCTGGATGAGCCTAGACTCTAGCAAATATTCTATATCGACTGATATAATATTCATTCGCAAAGGCGCAACAAGAGGAGAATTTTGAGGGGATAAGAAACGTGCATGAGGTTGGAGTACGGAGGACCACTCCACTTGATGCGGGATGAACCCACCATCAAGCAACAGATAGAGGCTCGAAGCACACTTCGTTTCTTTCACATGTGTTTACCATTACTGCACTTCGGACAAAGCGACCTACCGGCTATTCGAAGGAGCTCAATTTGGTGCGCCCGCTGGCTATCCATGGATCCGAAGTCCGAACAGGACAATGAAAGCGAATCCGGCCCCGACGCCTCGAAGTCGAAGTCGAAACTGACGACTAGGCCGCCACATCTGGGCCTCGCCGTTCGACAGCTCCAAACGTCTCCGTAGCTGGACCTCATTCCGAAAACCATTTTGCCAAGATCCTCCTCTCCCTTCTTAGCTCTGCCCGACCGCGAAGAGGCGCAATGGACCCAATCATGTCCCCCACAGACAAACGTGCAACGGAGCTCGGGCTCCGCAGAGATTGGGGTAAGGTATCATGAATCTGTGGAACGTCGACCGAAAAGATACAGAGCACGGATAGATACCATGCATGAAGACCACCGCTTTATCGGTTCTCCATCCATAGCCCGAGTAATGGAGAACCATCGCGGTCCGAAACCTTATATACCCCCACAGCCCTACTCCAGCATCCAAGACATGCAAAGGACTTGGCGGATTCAACAGGAGAAGAGCAGCGCACACAAGCACACTCAAGAAATGCCAACCATGTCGACCGAGCTTGACCATACTTCTCTGCTTGGCCGGTTCCACGCACCGTCGTCAACCCTCTCAAGAACAAGAACAAGCACGAGCAAACGGTCCTCGATATCAAAGAAAGGGACATCGAAGTTGATGGAGCTGCGCCCGAAAGGTGAGACGCCCTACCACCAACCATACCATACCATGCCACTCCTTGGCAGCACAGCACAGCTGAACGGCCTCTTCCACCGTCCCACGCCAAGCCAGCTAACAACCAAATCCAGGCCCCCTAGTCCTCCTCTCCCCGACAAGCCCAACCGAATTCAAGAAACGGCAGCACGCCCAAGCCCAGAAGCAGCAGCGGGACCGCATGAAAAGCGCCCTGGACCGGATGGCGGCGATGCTGGAGGGCGCGCGAACCTCTAGCGCAGATTCGGAAGCAGGAGGAACCGCAGCAGGTGGCGTGGATGCAGGGACGGTGAGCTGTGGGACTGGGACTGGGACTGGGACGAAGGTAGGAGCACCCGACTCGACTGTCTCTGGAGCAGGCCAATCTCCTTGTATTGCTGGGGCACGCGCTGACGGGACAGGCTGAACTGGTTGAGGCGGCCGTGGAGTATATTGAGCGGTTGCAGGGGCGGATACGGGAACTTAGCGAGGGCGAGCGAGGGACGGACCACGCGATTGGCACTGGCACTGGGACTGATACTGCGACTGCGACCGGCGGCGAGTGAACCACAGCCATGAGATTGGGGTGGTGTGAGATATGGTAGGCTAGTCTCTAGAGTCTCGGGGGTATGTACATAACGGAAGCGTTTAGCGATAGGATTTCACCAGATAGCGGGTCTCCAATGGCATGCTGCTTCCCTTGCACCCTTCGAGACTGTTCTAGAGCATCTGACACTTCTGCTCGAAGCATGCTGGCACCTTCCTCTTGGATTGGGTCGAGGGTATCAGCGCCAAGCAGGCCAAGAAGGCATACGAGCAAGACGCACGGGAATCCCCGACCGGGGGCCACGTTCCCTCTTAGGGCTGTCTGATTGGCGGCTGGCGTCTTCCAAGTGAGCTTCGCCCTGGTCAAGAAACCACGCGGAGCATCTTGGCGCTCGGCGGACATGGTTGCATTGTGCAATGACAGGTTGGCACGCGAGATGCCTGCAGGTGTCAAGCAGAAGCAGAGCAGACCAGGAGATGCTGACGCCCCGTGGTCTTACCCCTACGCCGTATATAACCTGGCCCGATCCGGTCCTGACCTCCCTCACGAACATCCATCTTGGTATTCTCCCTAAAAGAAAGATGGCCCTCCACCAGTACGACTGGATCCTCGCCCTCGGCACGATCTTCGCCTTCCTCGACGCCTGGAACATCGGCGCCAACGATGTCGCCAACTCGTGGGCTACCTCTGTCTCCTCCCGGTCTGTCAAGTACTGGCAGGCCATGGTGCTTGCGACCATCATGGAGTTTGCCGGCGGGTGCGTCTCCTTCCAATCCATCCCACTTTACCCTGTGTATGGCATACTCACAGTGCACCAGTATCGGCGTAGGCGCCACCGTCGCCGACACAATCCGCACCAAAGTCGTCGACGTCGACCAGTTCGCCGAGAACCCCGCCCTCCTCATGCTGGGCATGCTCTGCGCCCTCGTCGGCTCCTCTACATACCTTACCTTCGCAACGCGCATCGGGCTCCCCGTGTCAACAACACACTCGATCATGGGCGGCGTCATCGGCATGGGCGTGGCCCTGGTCGGCGCAGACGGTGTGATCTGGTGGGGCGGCGACATCAATTCCGGCGTCGTGCAGGTGTTCCTGGCATGGGTCATTGCGCCGTTCATCTCGGCCGCGTTCGCGAGCATCATCTTCCTGTTCACGAAGTACGCGATTCTCCTGCGGAACAAGCCAGCCATGAAAGCGCTCTACACCATCCCGTTCTACTTCTTCGTCACCTGTACGCTCCTCGCGATGCTCATCGTCTGGAAGGGCGGATCGAGCCGCATCAAGCTCAATGGCGGCGAGATCGCCGGAACGGTCGTGGGAACCGGCGCCGTCATGGGCGTGCTGGCCGCGTTCTTCCTCGTCCCGTGGCTGTACCGCCGCGTCATCCTCGACGACTGGCAGATCAAGCCGTGGCATCTGCTGCTCGGCCCGCTGGTGCTCCGTCGCGGCGAGGTCCCGCCCCATCCCAGCGGCACGCACACCGTGCAGAACTACTACCGGGGCCACAAGACGCTCGAACAAATCCAGGCCGAGCGCGCCGCCGGAAATGACGTCGAAACAGCGGATAAATCCAAGCTCGGCATCGGCAGCAGCGCAGACGCCTCGCCGGAAATTGAACCCAAGCCCGACCCGCGCCTCGCTGCCTCGCCTGAGCCCGAGGAGTCCGACGCGGTGAACATCACCGGCCCACGCCCAGAAGGGAAGGGCAAGTTCCACCCGGCCGTCCTCTTCTGGCAGGCGAAGCGCTTCTTCTTCCGCGGCATCGAGCAGGACGTCGTCTCCATGCAGAAGAAGCGCAATATCCTCTCCGGCGACCTGGAGATGGTCCACGCCAACGCCGAGCACTTTGAGAACCGCGCCGAGTACATGTTTTCGTTCTTGCAGGTGCTCACGGCGTCCACTGCGAGTTTTGCACACGGCGCGAATGATCTGTCCAAGTATGCCCCTGCCCTTATCTACCCTACCCACCCTGTCCTGCCAGCCCTAACTTTCTTGTGCGTTTGCTAAACTACTGCCTTGTAGTGCCGTCGGCCCCTACGCAACAATCTACAGCATCTGGCGCACCGCATCCCTCGAGGGCTCCGGCGGGAACGGCAAGACCGACGTGCCCTACTGGATCCTGTACGCCTCCCAAGTTCCCCTCTCCCACCTCTCCCCACAACCCACTAACTCTCTTCCCCAGTGCATTCGGCGGCGTCTCCCTCGTAATCGGCCTCTGGACGTACGGGTACAACATCATGCGCAACCTGGGCAACCGGATCACGCTGCACAGTCCCAGCCGGGGCTTCACAATGGAGCTCGGGTCCGCGGTGACGGTGATCATGGCGACCAAGCTCAAGCTGCCTGTGTCCACGACGCAGTGTATCACGGGCGCGACGGTGGGCGTGGGGCTGTGCAATGGCACCTACAAGACGATCAACTGGCGCATGGTCGCGTGGATCTATATGGGCTGGATCATTACGCTCCCTGTTACCGGGATCATTGCGGGGTGTTTTACGGGGATTATTATTAATGCGCCACGGTGGGGGTATGCGGGTTAGAGTGGACACGACGGGGACTATCCTGGGTAAAGTACGCAGGTGAGGGGGCAGGTGGTTAGGGTTGCTAAGGTGAGGTGAAGGGGAAGACCTAATGACTGGGGACCTCGAACCATGGGATGGGAAGGTGCGCTTTTGTTCCGAGTGTCGTGGAAGGCACTTGGGGGGTTTGCTTGCGGATGTTCTTCTATGTCTGACTATAGTGCTTTTTTATATATATACCTGGATTGGTTGGTTGCAACGTGGGCTGTTAATAATTATCTATCGATGGCAACTTTGTTTCTCTGGATTCCACTTAATGTTCAAATGCACTCTCAAGCCCAGCGGCCCAGCATTATCTGTAACGACTTGTTTGGCAGCTGTCGAGCTTGCCTATCTAAGTAATCCCGCAATTTAGGTGGGTAAACGACGCCTTTATGTTCCAGGTACTTGGTGTAAAGATAGGTGAAAGAAAGGATCTAGGACGATTAGGCCAGCTACCATAGGTACCGCTCCAAGGCCTTAACAAGATATCTAGTAGGCGCAGACCTCGAGGGCCAGGTAAATAGCAATTTCCTAACATATGTTATCCACTTTGGCGTATCGTGACAGAACTTATTGTTAAAGCTTTTCGGCGGGTTTAGGGTTACTAGTAGGTATACTTTCTACTGGCAACAAAAAGTGGTAAGACCGAAACTTTTATATTCAAAGTCTATAACATAAACCCGGTTAGGGGTACAGAAAAGCTAACATGTCTATAATAGTCTTTCTGACAGACCATAAAGCATCAAAAACAAGAACAGCAAGAATACGATGGGGTTAAGGGGAATCAACACTCCCACTCCCTCGCCTTCTTCCCCTTATAAACGCCCCAGAACGAGATCGCCCCAGCGATGACGGTCCCCGCTGGATCCCAGGTAGGACTCTCGCGGTTCGCCGTCTGCGTTGCAGACGCTGGCCCGACCTGGACTTCACCAGCCCCGGATCCAACTTTACCCTTCGTCCTCCCGGGTATCCGCGAGGGAATGCCCTGTGTCTGCCCGCCTTCCCCATCTTCATCATCCGGCTCTGACTCCTTGGAAGGCAAGCTGGGCTTAAACGTTATCACAGGAGGCGGATTATCCAACTCCTGCACCTGCTCCTCTCCATCAGAGCTCGGCGGACTTCCACTTCCACTTCCACTTTCATCCTCATCATCACTCTCCCCCTCCCACGGCGAAATCGCACCCGAACTCTCCCCATCGACATCCGTCTCCCCCTCACTAACAACATCCGGCTCGCCCTCGGCTGCATCAACATGCTCCCAGCCCTCGGCATCTGGCGCCGCATTCATGTCCGGCGCGATGAGCCCGGATGCCGAGATGTCAATGTCTGACGTGCTGGTCCTGTGGAAAGCTGCGAGTCGGGCGAGCGAGGTGCAGATTGTGCAGGATGTATTGGTGCATGTGAGTCCGGAGTGGGATAGGAAGTCGTCGTAGGCGTCGGATTCGCGGACGCGCGGGCGGAGGGGTAGGGGTAGGAGGCGGAACATTTTGTTGATTGGTTGATCTTAATTGGTTTGGTTGGTATTGGTGTTATTGGATTTGATTGGAATGGTGCTGGACAATGGGATTGTCTTTCCTGAAGACTGGTTGTTTGTGCTGTGTGATGGTGTTGATGTTGTGCATTGCGGTGACAATTGCGTGGTATATATGCATTATATGGACAAAGGGGACAATGGCCATGAGCTGAAAGAGGGCTTTTTGTATGTTGTTCCTTCTATATGTTGAATGGATACTAAATACCTTGTGCGCGCACAAAGAAAGGTTCATTATAGGATTCCATTGCAGGCCCCGATGCATTGTTGCACATCAATAGCAAGAACAGCTCTTTCAGCTCCTGTCAAAGCAATCAATGCGGCGTAGAATCAACCGGACAAAGATTTCTGCCGCGCAGAAAGGCGTGCACAAAGCATTTTGTTTCGTTGATATTGAAGATGCACAAAGGGAGTGCTGTGCTTGTGCTCGAACATCGACATGGGATCGATTCGGGCTCACAGGCTATCCCCGCTACCTAGGTACCTAGGTTTGGTCGACGTACAGCACGCACGACGATGAATACTGGGGCTCACATGGTGCAGTCAGGTTAGGGCAGAAGCCAGATGCGTACATCATACACTGCGCTGCTTTATACAGAGATACCGGGCACGTTGGAGATGGCTCCGGTGTCCTAGCTGCTGTGTACCTGTACCTCCACCTGGAAAATCAGTGTAATTAATAAGCTTGACCAAAGACTCAGTATATTACTTGGGTGTATTAGAGAAAGAGTTGAATGTACTAAATTATCTAGAATGTAGTAGACCTCCAATTTTTGGGTCAAAAGTCTGTGCACACTGCACGCCCGAAATACATACCCAAGGATATAGGTCGGCTTCAAACTTGATTCGGTTAACAACCACATTAAATTAAGATTTGTAAACTTGTGCAAATGGAAGCTATTCAGCATTTTGTATACCAGCCGCGCACTTGAAATACTGCATCTACCCGGCATGGCATGGAATCAATCAGCTTGTCAATCCAGACGTTTTTTTTTCTCGCACGCCCAAGCGGCAAAGAGCGATTCCCTCAACTTGGCACTAGGTGCATTGAAGCCTGAATACGTTTCTGGGAAGGAGGCGGGGGTATGGGGGCTCCCACCTTGCCCTGCTGATGTGGACATGCCGCGGCGGGCGATTATGCTTTGGAATAATCATGCTGGTGAGAATCATGGTAGAGTTGATAGATATATTGCACCTCAACTCCTAAATACCCATCTATTTTATCGAGTGAAAGACACTGTAATGGCCTATATGGATTAACAACATCAGAATAAGGTTGTCTACACCAATAAACTCCCTATCCTTCCGGAGGTCTCAACCCACACTCTCGTCCCCTGCACAATCCACCCGTCATCGAGGAACATCGTCCTACGGTTTCAATGTTCCCTTCTTACTTTCGGTTCCTCGATGTACCAATACCCGAGACAACAGGACACAAGCACGCGGCATTCATCTGCCCCTTATTAAACTCAAGCGTATCCTCATCCCCGAACGAAAGGTTCCGCAAAACAGTATGGATGTCCTGCTTCTACCGGCGCTGACTACTTCCGTTGAGACTTTGAGAGGAGTATGGTGCTGTGCTTGTCGGACGTCACGATAAATACGCGGTTTAGTGAGAAAGGGAAGGCTGCGATGCTTGTGCTGTTGTTGTTGAGGGCTGCGAGGACCGGGAGTTTGCCGGAGGACAACTGCCTCCAGCGCAGCCTTTCATTTTACAAGAACTCGGTGTGCTTAAGGGAAACCACGAATAAGAAGTTGCCCTTGTAGCTCAGTGGTATGAGCGCGCCACTTGTATGTCAACAGACGCCATGGTGAGGTCCGCGGTTCAATCCCGCGCGGGGGCATTTTTTTTTTTCTCCCCCGGAGTCAACCCAACTAGCCCTATCTTTCGGTCGCTACTATCCATGCATGGAACGTGAAGGGTACCACGCTCGGAGAGGTTCACCAAACCTCCGAGCAAGGCTTAAAAACGCTATTTACTAATACTTTCCGCCTTTTTTTATTACTGCTATAACTGCCATGTAAATTTCTAAGCCTTAATCCCTACTAAACTCCTTTATAAAGTCTTTTATAAGTGTATCTTGCCCGTTATAAAGGGGGGACCCCCAGCTCGCCCCCTTGCTTCTTAATCCCCTTTAGGGATATTAGGGGGACCCCCCCCCCTTTACTTAAGGGCGCCTTTTCTTATTCTCTACTTAGGTATAGGGGCTTATTTAATTGGAGGGCTTACCTAGGCCGGGGTGGTGGAATTTAAATAAGTATAAAGTGGAAGTAACGCGGGTAGCGTTTCTGAGCCTCGCTCGGAACCCGCTGAACCTCTCCGAACAGGGACCCCGAACGGGAAGACCTCCTGGAGGGTACCAGTTGGCAAGTTGCAGGAGGATGGCGTCCTCGGAGGCCTGCGTTGAACTGTCTGCCGGGCTGCCCGGCCAGTATCCTCTCCTTGGGTCCGGTTGCAGGATGCCAGGTATGCAACGTCATTTTGACGCGTAGTTCGTCTTCCTTGTCTATGATTCCGGACCCGGCTTCAGGGTCAGCATCACGGGAAACTGGTGAAGTTGGTGACGGGCTTAACACCGCCAAGTGCAATCAGGGAGTGTATCGTCCTGCAGAAAGCTAACATGTCACTTTCTCCCCGCATCGAGACCATGTATTATCTTGCCGCTGTGGGTGTCCGAGACATAAACAGGAGACACAGCTAAACTGCTTCTGCAGGGGCTGCCCGCTTGTGGAGAAGGCGGTGCCATCGTGGTTATATCTCTTGGATGATTTGGAATCCGAGACACGACACCGAGAGCCTACATCCCAGATCTCAATTCTCTCGCCTTTCGCATTATCTCGGCCGAGGAACAGGGCAAAGAGAACCATTTTCAAGGAGGGGCTGTGCGCTTTGACCTATTAAGGCCGAAGTTGATGGTCTCATGCGCCACTGCTATGAACGGGATTTCGGCGGTCTCCAGCGTTGTTCTGGCCCATGTCCACGGGTATAAAAACCATATCAAGACACAATGCCGACTTGTTCTCACCGTATGCCATCACGAAATGATATCAATGAATCCCATCGAAATCCTCAGTGCCACCTGAATTCATGGTATTCTTGATCTCGACCCACAGCGAGCACAGCCCTACACAATCTTGACCCTCGGCGCTTCCTGCTTCCGGTGTTTGGAGATAAGCATTAAGGTCGTTGAACCACGAGACTGCAAGTACTATGAGCCCCTTGAATGTGTCTAGAGGCTCGATACAGAACGATCGCGTCCAGTATTAGGAGACTTGCCATTCGATTTCCCATCAAACTATCCATTCCCCATCTGTATAACCGTAAATTCCGGCATATTCAGGTACGCTCACCTCACTCGCTACCTACATACGTGGTTCCAGCGCTCTTCTGGCCCCGTCCATTGACCTTCCCACTACCGTACACCGTGGTCCGAAACAGCCCTTCCCTCACCGCATACATTGTCAAAGAAATGCCCATTATCCCTGTCCTTCCTCGCCCAGAAAATAACAAAGCCCGAGGTCCAGTTTCAGAAACAAAGAACCAAGAACCAAAACCTCTGGAATGCCGAGCGCGTCTCATGACCTCCTCTGCCGTATCATATATAATGAGCACTGCCGGAGCATAAAAGAAAGGTGTAATAGAACTAAAGCTGCGTCCCTCCAAGCCTCCTTACTTTGTCATCCCAGACACCGCAAACCATGCACTTCCCATCACTAACAGTCCTCATCACTGCGCTGGCCGCAGTCGCAGCAGCAGCCCCGAACCCCAACCCCAAAGCCCCGTCCGCCCCCAACGGCGCAAACAACGACCCAGACCAAGATATGCGCTCTGACGCCTTCCGCCAACACTCGATTACCGTCTTCCTGCAGAGCGAACCGTACCTCGTCATCGAGTCGACGATAGGGATCCAGCTTGAGTGCAGTATGTCCCCCTCTCCCTAGCCCCCTCAATCAGAAAATACTATGGTGATTGCTAACGAGTCGGAATAGAGGCGCTGAACAAGAAACAGTTCCCGAATGGTGTGCTTGGGATCCAGGTGCCGGAGGGGTATCATTGTCGGTTTTGGAAGTTTGTTTCCCCCGTATTTAAGGAAATTGGTTTAGAGCTGACTTGTGGTTAGGTCAACTGAATGTAACGGAGGTGGAACGGCGAATATCCGGGCCCCAGGCGAGGCAATTGAGCCGGAGCTGGTGAAGGAGCTGAATTCGTTTAAGTGTTATGAGAGTGAGGGGGGTGAATAGCTTGGTTGTCGAGGGCGTTGAGCATGATAGGGCGGGGACGGCTTAAAGGTATTTCTGAGATATGTAGGTACTTTGTTACGGGCAGCATCCAATAGACACATATTTATAATAATATATTCTCATCGAAATGGAATGTTTGAACCACGAGCAGGACCCGTCTTTCATCAAACCAAGGTAACAGCCTATGTGGACTCTCCTCCTCAGGTACCCGGATCTAGTAGCCCTCGTAGTATAATCCTACACTCCTCGGCCAGTTAAGTAAATCCACTGGCTATGCCGGGTGCACATCTTTGTCCTTATACTATCTTCTCCGAACACCTTGTATAGCCAACCTGTCGGAGCGTAGTATACTGCTCGCCCCACTGTAGCCCTCGCCTATTAGCTTAGTCAGCCACACCGTGTCTAGCTTCACTATCGTGGCCTAGCTAGATACAATCTCCAAGCTTTCATCTCCAAGACAACCTTACCCTGGGCCATAAGAAATAGCAAAGACTGTGGGAAAAGGCTGGCTTTGAGAGTTATTTTGCGTCGTTACAAGTTCCGCCCTTTGGGCGTGAGATACCTGCCAGCCCTGTAAAGGCCAGTTAGGAGTCTGCAGGTCCCCAAGACTGTTTTAGCCCGGTGGGAACCATGCCGTAGGTAAGGGGGGTACCTACAACTATCTGCCCCAATATAGAGAGCATAAGCCAATTTTGTGATCACACTAAAGCTCTCACCTACAGAAGGACAAACATAGATATACACATTTACCACAATCTTACAGCGGTCACAATCTACAAGGCCAACAAGTAGTATGATGCAAAAAATACTTTTATATTTTTTTTATATATGTTTAGCATAGTCTATATTCACGGACGGCAGATTCAACAATCAATGTCCCTCACAACGCCCTCAACATCAACCTTACTCTTAAAGAACCCGACCCGACACGGCGCAATCAGCTCATGCTCCACGCGCCGAATCTCAGCCTCCACCTCCAGCTCCTCAACCCGATCCACGTCCCCGTCGCTCCCATACCCGCTGCCGCCGCCGCTAGGCGAGACACCGCGGCTGGTCCCCCGGCTCGAATGGGAATGGGAAGTCACAGAAGACGAAGCCTCGCTGGCCGCAACCGCACCCACATTCTCAACCGTCCAGTCCTCGCGCGGGATAATGTGTCCGCAGAAAAGCGCACTCAGCAGGTCCTCGTCCTCACGCACATCAACGACCTCGGGGAAGTCGATCAGCAGCGTGATGTCCACGTTCAGACCCGCCATGGACACGATCGGCCGCTGCAGATCGAACACCTCGACCTCGCCGAACTGCTGCGCCAGCCGCCGCTGGATCTGCGCTGCGAGCTGCCGCGCGAAGTAAGGGTGTATGGGCCCGCAGTTTCGTAGCCGAGTCGCCATGAGCACGGGGTACCGCTTTGTGCGGCAGATTAGGTCGCCTGGGCACAGGGTTTCGCGCGTCCATGTGCCGCCGGGTTGGTGGAGGGTTAGCCGGGTGAGGTAGTTGGTGTGTAGGGGGGCGCAGTGCGGGCAGATTGTCTGGATGTTGGCGTATCCTGAGTCTGAGTCTGAGTCTGAGGAGGTGGAGTCCTCGGGCTGTTCCCTGACACGGCCAAATGCCGCCTCGAACTCTGATAAAGATGAACTGTCAGCGAGAGATTCAGGGGCTGTCTGGAACGAACCTTCCTCCTCCTCCGGATCCAGGATGATCTCTGCAACGGGGCTATCCTCGTCAGCTGGGTCTTCGACTGGAAGGACGTTGAAATCCAGCGTCTCACTATCGGAATCAGGCGCCGGTATGTTGAAGCCCTCGAAGCGCTGCGCCAGCTGCCGCACGCTCCACGGCAGCGGACTGCTACGCGGGGGGTCCGATAGGTATTCCTCGTCCGGCGCAACGTCGAGGCTCTCCTCGGCGTCGGAGTGCGTCTCAGCCCAACGGGCCAGCGTAGCTTGCTCGTAACGCGCCATCCTGTCTCGCATAAGGGGGGCCACGATATCTCGGACATCGATCAGCGGGCGGAATTCGACTTCGACTTCGGCTTCGACTTCGTCATCGGCTTCGTCGTCGGCTTCGTCGGCTTCGTCGTCCGCTTCGTTGGCTTCGTCATCAGCTTCATCGAATTCGTCGTAGCTCTCGGAATATTCGGAGTACTCGCCATCAGTGGCGACGTCCTCGCGTTCACCCTCATCCCAGCGCTCTTGGTACCCGAGATACTGGCCCAGCAAGGACTCGAAGAACTGTTCCTCGTCGGAATCCATCTCGTCAGAGTGTTCCACGTAGCGGCGGGTCCGCAAACTGGCGCGTGCGTCGAGGATATTTTCAGCCACGCGGTCCTGGGTGCAGGCGTCGCCGTTCTTGGTGTGGAGGTTTACGAACTTACACATTTTGTTCGAGGTTTTTGGTGCTTTGCTAGGTTGTTTGGAGGGTTGGGTTTGGTGTACACTGTCCGGCAGTGTTTGGTGTATGGAGTAGAGCGCTAGGTTGGGATAAAGATCGGATGAAGTTGTTTGTTGGCGCTATGGAATTGTAGTGTTGTGATGCTGTTATGGTTGTTGGTATGTTGACTCGAGACTGAGGCAGTCAGGAAGAACTATATAGTCCTCGATACAAAGGAGATACTCTATACAATGAATCTTTGACGCCGAGTCAAGTTCTCATTATAAGCCATGTATGCAGCATTGTATATCCCATTGCCGCGAGACTTGATTATGCCTCTATTGAACTATCGAGACTGAAACCGATCGAATGCCGTCTTTCATCCAATCTTTCAGGTCGACGTCCAACGTTGTCTATGAAACATTCCCATCCAAGCCGAACCCTTCTTGACCATCAAGGGATCCTTTTCTCTTTTGTACGGATCTGAAACACGACCCCAAAACACTATACAAAAGCCATCTACTGGTTCATAGTTTGTATACATCAAGGCGCCTTTGCTCAGATGATACACATTAGTCCATTGATTTAACCATGAATTGGGCATTGCTACCATTTGCTGTCAAAGGGTCACTCGATGCAGCTCTTTATACCCTTGATCGATTGTATGTTTCATGTTTCCTTCAGTCGGTCTTTGCCTCAACATCCGGCGATATCTATGAAACATTCCGATCCAAAGCAAAAGATCCTTGGTCATCACGGAGTCTTTTCACTTTTGTACGCGCTGAAACACGATCATAAAGGCCCGGACAAATGCCATCTGCAGGTCCATGGTACACATACGTCAAGGCATCTTTGTCTGGATAACACTAACAACAATAAGTCCATTCATTCATTGAGATTATCCTTTGATCCTGGTCATTGATATGGTAACAATGTATCTCAAAGTCCGGAACAACAAACAGCGGACAAAAGCGTGTCGAAGAGATTTCCCGCTTAGGTAGGGTACAAGCGCCTGCTCCCTGTGTCGACCAGTTCAATCACCCAGGGTAACCCTGTTAGGCGAAGCATTCAAATCTCAGAAACCTCACTATCAGTTTACGCTACGACTATCAGTGTATGCTACGCGCATGAATCTCATTGCGCTTCCCAAGCCCGGAAGATGTTCCAAATTCGGATGGACTGGGCAAACCGGCCGAATTGGCTTAGCTGGGTGCACTGCGCGGGGTCTTTCACTAGCCATACTGTTTTGCTGACGAGTTTCTCCTTGGCCGTAGGAAGTCGATTTCTGGGGTCAAATGTTGCACTAGTCGCGTCAACCTCTGGACCCAAGACCAGGAATCTTGCTCCCTGTTTTTGACGTCCGTCGCCTGGTATACACCTTATAGTTCCAGTCAGAAGAGCCCTAGCGGCATTATATGTCGGAGCGGAGGACTGGCAGGCTGGAAAAGCCGCCAGAAGCCTTTAGCCTAAATTAGCTTTATTCCCCGCGCTTATTTTAAAAAGGCTAGTATTATTATATATTACTTTTTTTATTAAAAATTTTATATATAAATTATTTCTTAGCTAGATTTATTTATTATTTTATAATATTATTATTTATTTTATAATATTTTTATTTTATTTTTATAAGTAGCTTTTTTAACTTATTTAATAAGTTATAAGCCCTTAATTTTTTTAAAATTTTATTTATAAATACTACTTATTATTATTTATTTTATATTTAAAAATTTATATATAATTAATTAAAATAGTAATATTAAAAGCCCTGGAATTTAATTAATTAATTATAATTAATATTTATAAATACCTTTACTTTTAATATATTAAAAAACTTTATAATATTTAATATAACTCCCATACTTATTATAAAAATAATATTTACTTTTATTATTATAATAAATTAAATAATAAATTTATTAAAAAAAGTCTTTATACTTAACATGGTAAATAAAACACTAAAAAATAAAAAAGACTATAATATATAAACCTAGTTAATAAGCCTAAAACTAAACTTATATAATTTTAAGGTATTTATTAAAAAAAATATCCCACGCCTAATATTAATATTAATATTATATTAAAAATAGGTAATTATATTAAAAAAGGTTTAAATATAACTTGCAAAAAGTTTAATAAATAATATTATATAAATAATATAAATAAATTTAAAAAAAACATTATATATAAATAAGTTTTATACTAAAATTAACTAATAGGAATAAATATATAATAGCTTATATAATTTAAAAAAAGGCTATTATTATTAACCAGGCTAGCTATAGTATAATTTAGAAGTTTATTAAAATACTTTATAAAAAGTGTAAATTTAGTAATAAATTTAATATAATTATTATTTTATATTAGTAATTTTTCTTACTTTTAAAAAAACTATAGGCAGAAATGCCTTTATATTATAAAATAAAGTATATTTTAATACCCGCAAGTGTTATTAAAAAGATAATTATAGTATAATTTTAAAAGGTTTATTATAAAGTTTTAAATAAAGTAAAGGTCTAGACTTTTGTTCATGCAGTAGTACTAAAAAATAATAATAATAATAATAGTAATAAAAATAAAAATAAGGACAAGAATAATAATTTTAAAGCTAAAAATAAAAAATAAAACACACCTTATTAAGGCGCTTTAAAAAAAGGCGTGTTTAATAAGTAGTGGCAAAAAAAAGGATAGCTTTAAAAAAAAATTACTAAAAAATATATATAATTATTATAGTAAAGGACCTTATAATTTTTTAAAATATTACTATTTAATATTAAAAAAGTATTTATTAAACTAGTAATTATTAGGCAAGATTTAGTGCTATAAGTTTATTAAGCTAATAAATTTAAATAATAATACTAAAAGTAATAACACTAGCAAGCCTAGTGCCGCCGTAGTTTCTTAATAAACTTAAAATAAATATAATATAAACTTTAGTATATATAATATTATACTTTTTATAATATTAATAATATTTAAGTTTTATAATTAATAGCTAGTAAATACTAGTTCTAAAATTCCTATATATAATAATAAAAATCTTATAAAAAATCTTTATATTATTTAGCTTTTATAGCACGCATTTATTATATTAAATAATAAAAAAGTAATCCCTAAAGAAAGAGGTAAAGTTAACTTATATATTTAGTTAAATAATAATAAGGTATTAATATTATAATTTAATTACTTATAGTTTCCTAAATTATTATATAATATTTTACTAGTAAAAAAAATTAAATTAAACCTAGGCCTTTAGTATAATAGTAAATCTTTAAAAATTTAATAAATAAAAAATAATAAGGTTATTTTTAAGGTTTATATAAATAAAAACATGCCTTAGCTAAGTAAACTAAATACTAATATTAATAAAAAAGTAAGCTTTAATATAGCTTTAGTTTTAATAAAAGTTTAGCATAGGCGTTTAGGCCATGTATTAGTATTATAACTTAATAAAAACCATGCGCAGTTAAATAATAATAGTAAAAAAAATAAATATTAAAATAATAAAATAATTATAAATTATAAAATTTACAAGCTAGCAAAGTTAAAAAAAAAGGTTTTTAAAACTTTTTAATAATAAGTTATAAAGCCTTTATAAATAATATATATTAATATTTAAATAATAAAGCCTTAGGGTATATAAAAATATAATTATACTTTATTAATATTTAATAATAATTTTAAGGATTATTTTTACTAGTTCTTACATTAAAAAAATAAGGTAATAAATATACTTATTTATATATATTTATAATAGCTTAATATAAGCAGAGTATATATTATAAAAATAAAAAGTAATAATATTAAAAATTTTAATAATTATAAAGCCTAGTGCCACTAAAATTAAATTAATATTAAAATTAAAAAAACTTTAAGCTATACGCCTAAAAAAAATAAAATAATTAAGTATTTTAATAAATATATTATATAAATTACTTGCAGTATAATAATAAATATAAAGTTATTAAAAAAGCTATGGTTACTAGTAATTAAATTTATATTATATATTTAAAATTAACTTATTTAAAAAGGTAAAATAAAACCACTAGTAAAAAAATTTATAAAAGGCCTGGGGATATTAGTGCTAAATAATACTTTACTAAAATATTTATAAATCTTTAAATATAACGCCTATATTTATATCCCTGCGGAAATAAAAATAAAAGCTTTAAAAATAATACCTAAAGTAAAAAAAAAACTTATAAAATATAAGGGATTTTATATTTATAAGGTATATTTCCTAAAGTTTAAAAAAATTATTAAATTAAGAAATATTATATTTAAAAAAAAATAATAGTAAAGCGCCTTTGCCTACTTTACCACCTTTACTAACTAATCTTAATAATAAAGGCCCTGGTGGTTTAGTTAGTTTTAATAAATAATTTAAAATATAAAATTTTAATAATAATAATTTGCAAATAACTAATAAAAGTAAAAAAATTATTATAACTAAAAGGGTTTAAACCTTATCCCTAAATTTAGTGCTTTTTACCCCAAAATTTATAAAATTTATACTAATAAAAAAAAGAATTACTAAGCTATAAGGCTTAGCTAATATACTAGTTAAGGCCACATGCTTAAGTATTTAATTAATAAATATTAAAAAAAAAGTGCCTTTAATAACTAAGTTAGTATTAACTATAACCGCATAAAAAAAAGTTAAATAAGTACTAGAGGAAGAAAATACTTCTAGTATAAATTTTATATAACTATTGAAAAAACTAATAGTTAAAAAGATAGTTAAAAAAGTAAAAAAAAATATAAAAAAAATGCAAGCAAGTAAATTACCAAGTTTATTTATTTTTAATAATATACTAGTATTCTCGCCGTGTAGAAAACAAGAAATACAGGCATAAAAAATATTATAATTAATTAAAAAAAATAAAGTAATTCCGGAGCAAGAAGTTCTAAAAAACTTATTATTTTTAAAAATTAATAAAAAAATATATATGGCCGTGGCTTAACGCTTTAAAGCCAAGATATAATATTATAAAAGTAAAAAAAAAAAGAAAAAAAAAGACACTTTTAATTTATAATAAAAAATTTAGGGCTAATTTTGCCTAGTAAAAAAGCTAATAAAAATAATTTAAATTAATATACTTTATAAATAAGCAAGTAGAGTAATTAAAGCAAGAATAAAAATATTAAAATACTAAAAAAATAAAGGTAAAATTACCTAATTTATTAGTCTTACTAACGCTAGTAATTTTAAATAGTGTTTATCCTTTTAAAACCTATAAAATATTAATTTTAAATAACTATAAAAAGGTAATAAAATCCCCTTAAAAAAAGTACTAAATTAAAGTAATAAATAAATAAAATACCAAGCTAAAGAACATCCCTGTATAAAGATTAATTTTTTAATTTTTAATTATTTAAAAAAAAAAGAAAATTATACCAGGAAAATAGGTTTTTAACCCTAAAAAAAATAAAAAAAATAATATTAAAAAGTTTCATGCCCGGTAGGTTGCATGTAATAACTTTTAAGTTAAAAATAATAATTTAAAAATATATACTTTAGTTATTATTAACACACTAGTAAAAATTTATTTTATAATTATTTATAAAAAGGGTTATTATTATATTTAATTTAATATAATAACTATCTATCTTAACTTTATAATAAAATAAAAAAAGGTTTTTATAAAGTAACCTATAAGCTTAAAAAAAGGATTTTATTTACCTACTTTTTCGCGCTTTATATAGGTTAAAAAAAGTGGTATACCTTTAAAATAAAACATTTATAAATATATTAAAAAGTATAAGCCTTTAAAGTATTAAAAAAAATTTATATTTTTTTTATTACGCTTATAAGGGTAGTATTATAATTATGTATATAAATAATATTTTAATAATAGTGCCTATAAAAAAAATTTATAAAAAGTTTTTAAAAAAGTTAATTAAATACTTTAAATTTAAAATTTTTAAAAAATTAAAGTAATTCCTGGGATATAATATTAATTTTATAAAAAAAAATACTTATTTTTTAAAAGACCTATATTTAAAAGATTTTAAATTAACTAAACTTTAATAAATTAAATAGGTAAAGAATTTTAATAAATCCAGGATAAAAATACTTAATAAAAGTAGCTATTATTATATTTAAACTATTATAAAAAAATATTTTAAAGTATTAACGCTTAATAAGCAAGTTAAATTAAATATTTAAAAAAATAAGGTTAAATATTAAATATACCACGGTAAAATTATTAAGGTATACTTTAAATTTTTAAAGTATTAACTTTACCACGGTTAAGCATATATTTTAATACCTTAAAAAGTATTAAAATTTTAATATTTTTTTAGGTGCAAATAATAAAGCGCTAGTTAAATATATAAATAGTTTTTATATTAACTATAAAAAAAATTAATAAAAATATATATATTTTATTTTTATAACATGCTTATTTTTTAAAAATTTATAAGGTAATTAATTATAGCTAAAAGTTTAACTTTAGTAAAATTTATTATATTTAATATAGTAGTAAAAAAGGTAATTTAGCTTAAAAAGTTATATATAATATTAAGGTTTAATATTAAAAAACCTATAATACTTTATATAAATTTAATAAATATAATTATTAAGTTAGGGAAACTAGGGTATACTTTAGAAATTAAATAAATAAATATTTAATACTTTTTAATAAAAAATCTTGTTACTAAAAACCTTATAAAGTTTAAAAAAATTAATAGGATTAAAAACCCTATAAATAGCTTAATAAAAATATTAAATAAAGTAAAGTTTTAAAGTTTTATTAAAATATTATAATTAGTAATAATAAATTTAGTATAAAAAATTAAAATTCTAGTTATTTAACTATTATATTATTATAATTTTTAAATTTTTATAAATTTTATATAACTTTAACATGTTAACACTAGGGGGCCATGTTAAAGTAAAAAACTAGTAAATTAAAAAAGTTATTAAAAGCCTTTAGCTTAAATTAACTTTATTTCCCGTGCTTATTTTAAAAAGGCTAGTATTATTATATATTACTTTTTTTATTAAAAATTTTATATATAAATTATTTTTTAGCTAGATTTACTTATTATTTTATAATATTATTATTTATCTTGTAATATTTTTATTTCATCTCCATAAGTAGCTCCTCTGGCCTATCCAACATTATATAGTGCCGTTTGGCCGTGTTGCATGTACTAGAAGAGTGATCAGGATTCTCACACTGTTCACGTATATAGGCTGGCCTACAGCTATTTGGTACGGGGTTCCATGGTCTACCTAAGCATCCCGTAATATGCTGATGCTCTCGAGATACATCATTGCAGTACACAAGGCGTATTCCTAGGATAACATCCTTGAGAAAGGGATTATACCGGATAGCGAGAACATAGAACAGGTACCTCAACAGATCACTTAGATTTATTAATAAAGAAGAGAGTCAAATCATTTACACCATTCATCATCAATCTCACCCTAAGTCAGCGATAGATCTCTACAAAACTCAAACAACAGCATTCAATAAGTAATAAATATTTCAATTTCCTAAAAGCAAATTACACCATAACATACCTAACTAAAAGCCAAAATGAGAAACTTCGGAAACCATGGTATGGAAGGTGCAGGTGGAAGACTCGCCTACCAGACAACCTCTCAACCCTAGGTATAGTACCAACCTGCATACACCTCAATACGAGCGACATTCATCGCATTCAGACCAATGATCCGCATCGCAGTCACGGGGTTGATGCTTCAACGCCCGCGCCTTCTCCATCCGCCGGCGCCCGCGCCGCTGCGACTCATACCCCTTGATCCAGGTTCCTGTCGCGTCCGAGTCCGCCTCGCTCGCTGACTCAACCGCCTCATCTTGGCTATCTCGAGGCGCATGGGAAGAGTCGGCAACATCAAACCGTTCTGTCTCTTGTGGTTGGGCGCGCGAACAGGCGAACACTCGATATACCCCGGGCGAGGGCGAGCGGCGTTCCGGCCACTGCACATGGCGATACCCGTCTGGGTTGGGACGAGCGGCACGCCGAGGGGCGTGATTGAGCCGGGCGGCTAGGCCGAGCGGCAAGCTTGCGCGGCCGAGATATTCGTCTTCGTCTTCGTAGCCGGCGCCATTCTGGTCAACCTGGTATGCAGACTCGGAGTCATAGGCTGTGTCGGCGTCGTCGCAGTCGGAATCGGCGTCTCCGTCGGATTCGTTGTCTGCGTAGTCATCTACGTAGTCCTCTTCGTAGTCATCTGCGTACTCGTCTGCGTATGCGAACGCTGGTTCCTCCGCCATGAGCTCCCTCATCTTGCGGCCGTCGATGTGGTTTCCGGTGAAGCGCATTTTGAATGTAGTTGAGTTGTTGGTGATGATGGATATTGAAGGTTGTAAGAGAAGAGCCTGTTGAAAGCTGGATGGATGGACGATCTGGATGGTTAAACTGGATGGTTGAACTGGCAGGCCATGGGACAGATTATATAGACAGTCCTCGTACCTACCTAACAAAGAGCATTCTCCTGTATGGCGGACAATGAAATGGCTGTCACCTGTACACCGGCTCTTTGATCCAGGTCAAGGCGGCATTGTATTCTGAAACACTCCGTTGATTCTCATCAACCGGTCTCATTATACCAGGTTGGCTTTGTGATGGAATAGTCCGTTCAACCTCATCAACCGGTCCCATTATACGAAGGTGGCTTTGTATGAAAGACTCGGTCATGAGAATGAACGAGTCTCATTATGCCGTGGACCTTTCGTTCTCCATTCTCTCTGAGAAAGCCTTTGGGTAGTGATTGTTGTTCCTTGACGCTTAGAAAAAAATGCACTGACAAAGGATCCTTTCCTTCATTCTACTTTGACAAGGAAAGGGCTTAGACCGTTTAAGCTCAATGCGGCTTTCAGGGTATGTACACTGAATGGGATCCAGCAAATCGACACGCATCACAACGCAGAAGCCGGCTTTGGCGGGAAGGGCAAAACAAAGCCATACTCTGTAGGAGCCGGCAGCGGAGAAAAATGAACACGTATCACCAACTTCTAGAATTCAAAGGAGTACAGCGTGCCGGGGGAGGTATGCTTCCAGAGCGCGTTATCATCGGTGAAGAATGAGTCGGGCTGCCGGTGCATCTTGCATAGATGAGTAAGAGAAGGCAATGACAGAAGTAGATCATACGTATGAATCAGATTATGCACCATATCGGGACTTGGGCAGCCGGCGGGGTGCTGAACCAGACCGGAGTCCGCGGGAGCCGAGCGATGAATATATAGGGCCGGAATGGCTCGCGAAAGAGAACAAGCACATCCAGTTACATTTGGCAACAAGATGGTGAAAGTTGCAGTTGCTGGCGGCACCGGCGACGTCGGACGAACCATTGTCGAGGTCCTCAAAGACAATCCACGGCATGAAGCGGTTGTCTTTACTCGAAGAGTAAATGAATTGATACCCCTGTAGGGCCAGGGTCCTGTTGACACAAACAGGCAACAGGAAACCTCCTCGGCGTGCCATCTGTCATCGTTGATTACTCGGATGTCAACAGCCTACGACACATCCTGGAGGAGCAACAGATCCACACCGTCATATCAGCCCTCGGCTACGACGGCGATGCGCTCAGCACAGCGCAACTTAATCTGATTCGAGCCGCGGATGCATCGAGCTCAACGCAGCGTTTCGCACCAAGCGCTTTCGCCTGTGCATATACTCCTGAGTGGGTTCACGTTCACTTTATGTTCCAAGGTTAGCAACAAAAACCTTGAAGGATTACTAACAGAACCGTATTCCAGTATGATCGACACACTCCCCGCGCTGGACGATTACTTCCGGGCAGTCGACGAACTCAAGAGCTCAAGTCTCCAGTGGACGATCTTCATGAATGGTTACTTTATGGATTATCTCGCGCCCGGGAAGATCAAGTCTTATCTCAGGCCTTTACCGTCGGTCATTGATATTGAGAACAAGATAGCAGCTGTACCGGGTAATGGGGACGTGCCGATAACGTTTACGTATTCGTTCGATGCCGCGAGGTTTGTCGTTGCGTCTTTGGATGCTGAGGAGTGGCCGGAGGAGAGCAGAATGGCTGGTGATGTAGCGACCTGGAATAGTTTGGTTTCGTTGGCGGAGGAAATCTCAGGTAGGTAACAAGACTCGCACTTGATGGTATGGAGACAGCATTAACAGCATGTAGGATCTCAGTTCCAGGTTCTCCGCGATGATATCGAGAAGCTGCAGCGGGGCGAAGTCACCGAACTCCCAATCCATGCTCTCGCCTACGAGCACATGTCGAAGAGGGCCTTCCAGGCATTCAGTGCGGCGTCCAGCTTGTGGACTCAAGATCCAAAGATCATGCATATTGCTGGGGAGGTGAATGCGAGGTTTCCGGAAATTCAGACCCTAACTGTGAGAAGGTTGTTCGAGAAGTGCTGGTCCGCGTCGGCTTCACATTAATTTCCGGTGGCCCAATTGATTCAGCGCAAGTCTTTTGTTCGCACACCTTAGCAAGAGGCTTAGGCAGTAAAGAAATCGCCACAGTAAGTAGGCTTTTTTAGCTCTTCCTGGGCGCTTTCCAGGGCCGGTGTGATGTATCACACCGGGGGCGCATAATCCCATACCCCCGGGGCCTAGGCCAGGTACCTAGGTAGGTACCATACCGTAAACGCTGAGCGTCTGGGCCCTGTTGTCTGGGCGCGGGGAACCGAGTCCAACCAGCCCAACTTCCATTCACCACCAGCAACCTTTCCGTCGAAGGTCAACCTCAATCACGATGCCCCCAATCACCAGTGTCCCACTAGAGCTGATAGCCCTGATTCAAGAGAGCATTCCAGACCCCAGACCCGATGACTTAATCACGGTCGGCCGGGTATGCCGCGTGTTCCGCGACGCCTTCACGCGCAGCGAGCGGGGTCTGCTGGACTCATGGCTCGAGAGCCAATGTCCACGTCAACAAGAATCAAGGGAGGAGGCAGAGCAAGGCTTCAAACTGCCACTTCTACACCCTCAAACATGCGGAACAATTCTTCTCGATCTGCTGACGCTCGCGCAATCCGGCGCCATCAGTCCCGCGAATCTGGAATCTATCCTGCGCCGAGCATGGCCTCTTTTCCGCGACATCTACCTCGAGGAAGCATTAATGCCTCTTGCGCTGATGATCGCGCGTCTCTACACGCACCACGACCAGGCGCAGAAAGCCCTGGACTTGCTATGGGCCATTTTCCACGCGGCCGATCCTTTCACCTGGTCGGTTCCGCCGGGTGTGCGCGAATTTGTCGCCGAGATGCAGAGGGAGGGCCGGGAGTGGTATGGCTCTTCCCGAGAACAGCATTTGGAGCCACAGAAATGGCAGCGCAGTGGCACGTATCCGCTTGGCAAGGCGGGTCTGAAACTGATGGTGGACACGGGTCTTCGTCCGGAGGTGCGGGGGGAGAAGCTAGACGTCGACTTGATTGGCTTTTCGCACACGCTGAGAAGTGTGAGTAAACGGTATACATGGGCGAGGAGCATCCTGGTGGAAGAGAATGGCGCCGTGAGCAAGTGGGACACCATCTGGCGTCCAGACGAGAAGCGGCTGCTGGATGACGGGATCTTGTTGCGGGAAGGGCGTAAACGTCGCGATGGGATGCTGGGGCAGGACAACGGGCTCCGGGCTCCTCAAGATGCCATTGCTGAACCTGAAATTGGCCGGGGGGGTACCGACTTTTGCGATCCCGTCGCGTGGCCAAATGTGACGCCGCAGCCAGTTGCAGCGGTCATGAAGATCACACATTGGGGCCTTCAAGATTACCGGTTCGTGCCGTACGTCCCTGAGGCCGAGGTGCGAGAGTTTGGGCGGCAAAGGGCAGAGCTTTTAAGGAACACGTCGGATAATTGGGCTGTGCATCATTCCCAACGTCCTGGACCTGAGTTTGAGTCGCGGCTTGACGCCGAGCAGATACTGGGCCACGGGTCTCTGACCGAAACAGGTGCGTACACTCGCTCCTCCCGTATTCCTTTCCATAACACTGCCATCAGGTGATTGGGTAGGTACTAAGACTAACAAAATCTCAGGCCCCGAAGGCGACGGGATCCGGTTCTATCAGCGATTCGCGAAGGACGAGATACCATGGGGGATTGACGCAGGAATTGGAATGGCTGACCCTGAACTCGGCGCCATATGGAAGACTCTCACAAACTATCAGGACACTGTCAAGGATATAATAGCTTTGAGAATGTATCTAGCTGGGCCATAATAGTAAAGCTATACTTGGTATGGTTAACTATGCTAACAGGCAAGGGCTATAATGTCAGCCAAAGGTGGAGTTCTCTTATTTTAGTGGAGTTCTTATTTGTCAACGCCTCCACATGCCGCGGTAGTATAGAAAAGTAAGGCGCTTAATGCCTTATTATTTTAGTAAAGAAATTAGGTTATTAATAAGTTTTTAAAGGCTTAAAATATTTATATAAATCCCTAGGTAGCTTTAGCTTTTAATAAATAACTTATTTTTTTATTTTTTTATAATATTTAATTAATAGCTTTATTAATTAATATAATATATAAAGGGTCTTATAATTATAAGCCTAAATATTAACTTAATAATTTAGCTTATTAAATTTTTACATTTTTTTAATATTTTAAAGTTATTTATATTTTTAAATATATATTTTAAAGCTATACTAAGCCCTTTTATAATTAATTATTATTTTTATTAAATTAAAATAAATATTAATTAATTTTTAATTTTTATATTTAATTTAAAAGTTATTATAAGCTTTACTAATAATATTATAAGTATAAAAATTATTTTTAAGTTTAAAAATAATTAACTAGCTTAGTATAACTAGATTTTTTACTTTATTTAAATAATAAAAGTTTAAAAGTTTAAAAGTTTTTTAACTTAAATATTTTTAAAAATTAAAAAAAAAGATTTTTTTTACCCTAAGTTACCTTTAAAAAATATAATTAAAAAAGTATTTAAAATATATAATAAATACTAGCTTAGCAGTTATTTAAAAAACTATTATTATTTTTATTTAATAATTTATTAAAAATAAACTTATTATAAAGGTTTTAGCTAAATTAAAGTAATAATTTACTTTAATTAATTGTAAAATTAAATTAAAAGTATTTAGTAACTATTTTATGGCCTTAAATATTTTAATTTAATAAGGTAAAATTAGTAATTAGCTTTAAAATTATAAAAATATTTATTAAAAAATTAAACACCTTAATTAACCTAAATTAAAAAATAAAATAGTTAATATAACCTTCCTGCGGATAATTAGTATGTGATAACGCTAGCGCTGGAGATCACCCGGCTGGTAAGGCCGGGCAATTAAGAAAGAATATATAAAAAAAAAACTAAATATAAAATTATTTAAAGGTTTTTTATTAAGGCCTTTAAGTGCTTTATATAACTTTTATTTAAAATAATAAGGCCTAAATATTATTTTTTAAAATTATTAATATTTTTAGGTTTTAATATTATTATGGCTAATAAAGTAGCTTAAGGTATTAATATTATTAATAAAATTATATTTTTTTTACTTAAATAAAATAATACCCTTAATATTAACCCCTATTTTTAAATATATTTTAATAAAAATATAAAAAACTAAAAACCTTTATTAAAGCCCCTAACTTATTATAAATAAAAAAAATATATTATAATATATAAAAAATATTATTATTTCCTATAATAAAAAGATTTATAAATTATAAAATAACTTTTTTAAATATAAAATTAAAAAATCCTAGCTTACTAATGCTAATAAAAATTACTTAATATATTTTTAGCTTAATATTATTAACTATAATAACCCTTATTTATATTTTATTTTTAAAAACCTTATTAGGTATAACTTACCCCGGCTTGCTTTTTACCCTTTTAAAATAAGGTAAAGTAAAAAATAAAAAAAGTTTTAAAAAAAAGTTAAAATTATAAGTTATTAACTTTTTAAAAAGGCTAGCCTTTTTAAAAAATTAATAATAAAAGTTTATTATAAATTTTAATAAAAATTTAACTTTAAAATAAGGTTAACCCCGCGCCTATATAAAACTATTTTTTTTTTAACTTTTTTATTTTTTTTTATATTTTTTTTTCTTAATTTTTATTTTATAACTTTTTTTTTAGTTCTTACCTTAATATATTAAATTATAATATATAATAATATCTTTTTTTTTACTTAGGGCGCTTGCTTTTAATATATTTTTTATAAATAATAATTTTAGCCTTTATAGCTAGTGGTGTTAAGTATCTTTTATTTTAAATTTTAAAATAGTAATTATTTACTATTTATTTAAAAAAAAGCTTTTTAATAAAATATTTAAAGTATTTAAGGTAAGGTTTTATTATTATAGTAATTATAAAGGCCTTTACTAATAATTTATTTATTACTAGTAATACCCCCACCATAATATTATTTTTTTTATTAATAAATATTACCTTTTTTTTACCTTTTTTTTTTAAAAAATTCCCCTAGATTTTTTTAAACCTTTTAGTTTTTTTTTTTTAATTTTTTTTTATTAAAATCCTTAACCATGGCCCTTAAAAAATCTAGCATGTTATTTTTAAAGCGCAAGTAAAATATTATAATAACTTTTTTTTTTGAAAAAAGTAAAAACTGGCTGTACTAGTAGCAAGATAGTAAATAATTTTTTTTTAACTTTTTTTAATAAGTACTTTTTTTAGCTTGATTAATAATAGTAAAAGCTAATATATTATTATATTTATAAAGTTTTATAAGCTATTAAAGCCCTTAAAAGCTTTTTTTTATATATAAAAATTTTAACTAGGTGTTTATTAAGCTTGGTAAGTATAAAGTTTATATTATTAAAAATTAATATTAATAGTTTACCGTGGCCCTGTAATAATAAAATATTATTATTAAATAAAAAGTAGCTTATAATAATTATAAAGTATTATTTAAGGTAATTTTTATTACTTATGTTTAAGCCCCTAAGCTTAAGGGTTAAATACTTTTTTAAAAAGTATATACTTACTATATTTTTATATATTAATAAGCTTAATACTTTCTCCGGACCAAGATGGCCTCTTAATTTACTAAATAAAATAATAAGTTAATAATATAAGTTTTTTTTTTACCTTATAGTGCTTAATTACTAATATTTTATAAATTTATTAAAAAGCATGGGACCTTTAATATAGTAATTTATATAATAAAAATAAATAAAAATTTATAACGGGCTTTAAAAAAATAGGTAAATTTTAATAAAATATTTAAGTATAATTATTAATTACTAGGTAAAAGTAAGGGTAAAAAGCCTATATAATTTATTATTTTAAAAACTTTAAACCCTAGTAATAATAAAAAAATAAAGTTTAAAAATTTTAATAATATAATTAATAATATTAAAAACCCTAAGGCAGGCCTTAAATTTTTTAAAAAATATTATCTTACTTTTAAGCTAGTACCTACTTTTTATTTTTTTTTTAAGTTTTTTAGTAAAGTTTTAGATTTTATATAGGAGTTTATTATTTTACCTTACTATTTTTTAAATAAAAAGCTTTTATTATAGCCCCTTTTAATTATAATATAAAAAAGTTTAAAAGCCTTAATACTTAGGCTTAATAATTTAAAGGCTTTTTAGCTAGTAATATATTTTTACTTATTTTATTTTAGTATTAACCCTAATAAGCTAGATTAAGATTTAATTTATTAATATAAATAAGCTTTTAAGTTAAGGCTTGCCCCTGTTACTACTTTTTTTTAATTATTTTTTTTTAACTTCTTGCTTTTTCCCTTGCCCTACTACCAGCCTTTTAAGCTTATTAATATATTTTAATAATATTAGTAAAGTTTTTAATTTAATTAAATTTTACTTTAAACTAAAGGTTTAAGTAGCTTAGTCCCCCTTAAATTTAAAGTAATTTAAAATATTAAACTTAATAAATATAAATAAGCGCCTTTTTACCTTTAATTATTTTTTTTAAAATTTTTTTAATATAGGGATTAGTACTATTAATATTAAAATATATATTAACTTAATTTATTTAAATCCCTTTTTTAATTCTGGTTTTTTTTTTAATATTTTTTTAAAGGTAAGTCTTTTTTTTAAGTTAATTAATAATATTTTTAATTATTAATATTAAGTGTCCCAGGCTTGCAAGCAGCGCCTGGTTAAATAATAAAAAAGGGAAATACTTTTTTTTAAAATTTAAAAAAAAATTGGTTACTTTTATAAAGTTTTAGGTAGGGATTTAGGTTTTAGTAAAAATAAAAATATTAAAATAAATATTAATAAAAAAATAATTATAAATAAAAAGCTTGCTAAGTTTAATAAGGCCAAAAAGAGCTATTAATTAATTAAAGTAAATTTAAATATAAAGTACCAGGCGGCTTTTACTTTAAGTAATTTAAAAAAACTTAAATATAATTAAGGCTAGTAATAAAATAGTTTATAGTAATAATAAAGTATAAGTTAGTTTTAATTTTTTTTTAAATAAAATAAATAAAATATTAATAAGTTATTTACCGGGTCCTTTTTAATATAAATATTATATTTTTTTTTATAAAATACTTCCCTTTTAAATATAATAATTTAAAATAATAATAGCAAAGTTGCGCTTGGTACCAGTTTTTTTAATATTTTATAAAGGTTAGTATTTTTAGCATTTATTAATAGTTTTTTTTTACTAAACTATTAGTTAAGATTAGTAAGTCTCTTTTTAAAGTTTATTTTTTATTTAGTTTTAACTTTAAAAATATATACTAAACAAGGTTATAAGTTTTTATTTATAATATTTTTATTACTAAAGTATTACTAGCCTTAAAAGCTTTTACCTTTTTAATATATTTTTTATTTTTAATAACAAGCTTATTAATAATAGTACCCTCCCTTACTTAGTTTAAAAATAATCCCTTATTTTTATGCTTATTTTATTTCACCCTTGTTTATATTAATAAGTTAAAATAAAAGGGGTTTAAAGGCTTAATAGTATTAATAATTTATTATACCTTAATTAATTTTATAATTTTTTAGCCTTATTTTTTAAGGGCTTTTTATAATTATATGCTTGCTTAAAGCTTTTTTAAATTATTAACTTTTATATAAATAAGGTGTTATTTATTAATAAGATTATAAATAATATATTTATCTAGTTTAATAATAATATATATACTAAGTAAGTGTAATTTTAGTACCTTATAAGGTTTAAATTATTTAATATTAAATTTTTATGGGTCTTTATTTTTAATTAAAACTTAATTATTTTTTTAAAATAGGTAATAC